TCTGTTTCAATAACAAAGTTACAGTGGCTTTACATAATTTAGGCTCGGTATGGGAATGTACGCGTACTGTAAGAAACAGGAAACGCGGAAATGAATATTTTCCTGTCGCGTTTGCATAGCATTGAGACTAACACCCAACCGCCCACAATAGCTGCCTGCTGTGTGTCAGCGCAAATCATGCTAACAGCAAAGTTGAAGTACAGTGTGTTCTTTCGAAGCTAGTTATTCTAAAGAGTAATTTTCTTCCTCTCGCAACGGGATTGTACGTCGGGTTTGAGACGCGACACCTAAAAAACTAGTTCTATGAAGAATCAAACAAATGATATCAAACATGATATGCACCTACACCTAGTCGTCTCCTTGATGGGGAAGATACCGTTGTTCCCGAAAATGTAAAGGCTATCACCCCCGTCGCACAGAATATGCGATGGACGAAACACGGAGGGAAAAGGATAGCCTTTGTGATATTTATTACAGAGACTATGTATGATGTTAACGCTTGGGTATGGAAAGAAGTAGTCTTGGGTGCATCAGTGATGAAAATTTACCCACCAAGACGAAACATCTCTGAATGGTTATCTGTATTACCAGATCCTAATATACAACAATCCATCAAGTTGATTGGTTAGAAAGACAAGAAACCGAATTGATCAGATTGTGATAGACGGAAGATATGTGTATCTCTAGTGTTTTAAATGTGAATACTCTCCGAGGTCCTTACATCGACTCGAACCACCCTTTTCTTACAAGAGCTAAGATACGCACTCGCCTTTTTGTGTTTAGCGAAGAACGTGCTTCCAGGTAACCTTGGAAGGCTTAGCGCAATCACAGCAGAAAACCGCGCAATTATTTCCTCGACGTGTCCTATCTCTCTTTGAGAGCACTCTTCGACAAGCGCTAAAGAACATACAACTTCTCATCCAATTTCGTCTTCCTATTGTCTCTCTTTATTTGGAGTATAGTTTTGCATACCTTTGGTCCTAATTATAGGACTCAAACTCACTACGCGGGGATTTAGAGCTTATTTCAAGAAGGACATCCGCCGCATTCCTACTGGACAGACCGAGCGATAAAACTTCAGTTGAATACTAGATTGGTTATGTTGGAGGTTCTCCATCCAAGCTCTCTCGAATTACCGTTAAGTAAGGCAGACTTCATTGGTTGCTTTCATATGGAAAAGTGAAGTAAGAAGAGTTTTCTTATAGAAAAATGATTATACCGCAATCTGCAGCGAAGAGTGCAAAATCGATTGGGCCAAAATTTTGAAGATTGTAATGTCTACATACATATATATATCTCTATCTCAATTCACGCCAACCAAGTTCAGCACGCATATTCCAAGCAGAAGTATTAGGTAGAAAAAAGGAAAAAAGAAAAAAGTAGAGAAAAGGAAAAAAACTAAGAGAAGTGAAATTGCTGGACTGTCTGGTGGTATTACTACGCCAATGGTCAGTTCCGGCGTCGCCAACAAAGGTGATAAGCTTGTTAAAAGATCAGCTGGTCATCTGTCGGGAGATAACATCACATGAAATTTGAAAGTCTAGCTCGGAGGTTGACGAAGTAGATAAAGTGCAAAGACTTATAGAAGAAGTCATAAGTAGATTCACAGCCATAATGGCGGGTGTAGGGTTCCTTCGGGAACATGCACATAAACTAGGTCTCTGCCATATTATAGCTATTACTGTCACTGTGAAGAGAATACGGAAACAATTATCGATTTTCTCTGCCGATGAAAGTCTTCCTCACACAATCTACAAAGGACTTTTGGAAACCAACACATGCCAATTCTATAATATCTGTCCACCATAGCGTATCGTCACTAACTGAGGTTAATATCAACTACGAATCTAAAAGCGTGGAAACGAAACACTGTGCAAGCCGCTGACAATGATGAAGCCACAATGCTTCAACGTAAAACGTTGGATTACTTTGATTTTATTATTAGATGCCACATCCTGTGAGAAATTATCATATTTACATCGTTTATTAACATCATCAGCCGCCCCTTTGAGCTTTGGCAATGTCAGAGTGCAGAATAGCATCATTTTCTCTTCATGAATTAAAAGACTCTTAGCAAAATGTTTATGAAGTTGAGAAATTCACGCTAATCCAGGTGAAAAGTTAAGTCAACAATCACCGTTAAGTGTATTTAATAATAAAACAATAAAGACGTTGACTACTTTGAGTTCGAGTATATACATACTCGTATGTACTTATTCATGGTATAGTGGATACGTGTACGTATGTACATATGTAGGCAGTGAAATGAAGATATTTGGCAAGTATAACTTTCATTCACCTTGATAAAATTCGAGGGCAAAATAGAAATAAAAATTTTTAGGTGGGAAGAAACTTACTTTGTTTTATACTTTCATACAATTTTCATTCATTTTGCTAGTTTAGCCGAAACAGTAAGACGTTTCAAAGTAAATAAACTATCAGATAAAGGAATTACCCGTGTCATTGACAGATTTCACTTGTCGTTCGGTCGTTAAAGGGGGCGGTTAAGGGGGCGGTTGTATTCTATCAACCCCACAACTCACTTTCATTATGAAATTTCCAAGTCACGCACACACTTGCAGATCTATGTATGTATGTTATCAGTTAATGTGTGTTTAAGAAGAAGAGTAGAGAGTATAAATAAAAGAATAAAGACATTCATACGTAAAACAGAAAAAGAGTATTGGAAACGCACACAGAAAAACTTCTGAGACTTTTATGCACTCAATAAAATTTACCGCACAGAGATTTCGATCTAAAGTGTGGCCATTATCGCTTGGTTTCAGAGAGTTTGAAAAAGGATTGAATAATGCGCACGATGGCAGCATCGGAAAGTGGCTTTTGGCCACAATTGGAGATACAATTGGTATTGGAGGAATATTTTCAAAGCGAAAAATGACCATTGGATTTATTTCCACACTTATTCAATAGCTTATGGCCGAATCAAAGTCCCTTTCATTTTCAATGATAGTCAATTGATTTTAGTGATGATAACGGAAACCAATTTTGTTTGGAAAAAGATTTACGGTTCGTTTGCAAGTGTGAAGGTCAAAAATATGTACATATTTACTTTTCAAAGAAAAAACCTTTCATTATATTATACATACACATGTGATAAGCATTCAGAAGTAAATGGCATGAAAGACCTACCATCAAAGAGCAATATTTTCTTGCCAAGGAATACATGTAAGCCGTAGCCCAGGTCCATATTGAGGAGCATCAACTTAATATTCTCTCGATAACAGCACCATTAGATTATATGAGAAGGTGTTTTCAATCAAAGATTCTAATCGAAAATTTCGAGAGACCACAGGAATGTCAAGCTTCCTATAGCTGCAAACGAAACTACTAATTTTCGAAAAGATGGAAAAAAGAGCTGGCAAGAGATAAAGCAAGCTGCCTACCTCGCAATGTTGCAAAAACTCTGCGAAAAATTATGGGGACTTACCGAATATTTCAAGATCTGAGCAGAGACGGTGATCTAGTACCAATTGAGCAGAGTATACCGAATATATGGTGGTTCTCCAACCAACTGAATGGCAATGAAAATGCAACACAGGAGATGGCGAGCACCATTCCCCAATCGATAAGGATGGAACATTACCGTGGGATAAGCACTCTTAATATCGCATATAAAGTCCTACCAGCGTAATGTGTGAAAGGCTAAAGCACACCATTAAGATTTTCATTGGATCTTAACAGGCTTTAGACCTGATAAATCTTGGAAAGACCCATGAAAAAAGGATCGACACAGCCTTCGACAGCAAGAAAAGTAGCCGCCTCTACGCCGCGGTATCCGACGTCTTCTCGAACAGACACTCCAATGATGCAGACCTTTAAACCGAGTAAGTAGGAGTGACTCTACTGAAGCTTCCCCTCCCATTAGCCGTGACCCAAGTCTCCACACGGGCTGCATACCACATCTTGTTCAATGGTTGTTTACATTTTCAGTGTGCCCGACTTGGAAGCAAGAGTAGGAATTGAGTATAGTCTCGCAACTATAACAGAATACAAACTCTATAAGTCGCGCATCGTTTCCGTCCTACTATAAGGTGTGGAGGCATGGACGATGATAACATCTGATGAGTCGACGTTGGGAGTTTTCGTGAGAAGGGTTTTGCGTAAGATTAATGGGTACGAAATATGCAACGATATTGACATAGTTGACATTGACATAGCGAATCAATAAAGGGGAGCTGGCTAAGTCTTGTGGTCCGGATAGATAAGAATACTCCAAATTTGAAAGTTTTCGAAGACCAGATAGAAAGTACCTGGCTATACTTGTTATTTCCAATTGGCGTCAAACATCGAAAAGAAGAAATGAATGGGGCAATGTTGCTACCTTCAACAATAATGCGCCTAAGTAACCGTAGACTGTCCAGTGTACCCATCATCTACGTGTAAACTACGGATAAACAAATTAATAGACCAATCGCTCGTAAGCAGAGTCGTAAAATCTGCGATGGCATACAAGAATGTCTACTGCATTCTCTTTTAAGGGTTTTGGCAATCAACCAATAGCCGAATGCTTATTAAACTACGTTAGCAACCTAAAATATAGGAACGAGGAATTCTTTCTGTCCACTACAAGGCTCTAACTACAACTTTTTCAACTATTTCGACAAAAATTATTTTTTGAAATTGTCTACCCTTTTGCACGAGCTCCCAAAATAACTGACATCACAAAAAGTGAGTAAGCCCAGGACAGCAATTAGCATACGGCGCAAATGTTGGACTAATAGTATGTGAGTCTCTTCTTTGATTTCAACAACCTTCACCCGAAGAACACCGCAAATGTCTCGAAGTCGATAGATAACTCCCCACAGAAGACCACCGCCCAACATTTAATCAAAAGCAATATACTTTTGCATATAAAAAACCCGGTAGGTTATCTCGCACCTAAAATATATATGTAAGGCTACCCTCGGAAGCTCACTATTTTTTTTTCACTAAATCATAAATACAGGTGCACACACTCTTATATTTATTCAGGTACTCACTTGGCTCATCTTCATTCAGCATCGGACTCGTCTCACGACCCGTCGCATTGTACAGCGTTAAGGCAAAGTGTTTAGCCAAAATGATGCCACCTTGTCGTGAACCGGCACAAACCCAAAAATCTGCACGACTCAACTCGCACAACTCAGAGCCGGTGGTGGGAAAACGTGAAATATCCGGTTCTGGTTCAATTTTAAATTGTTTGGTTAACCACTTGACCCAACTATTTATGTGCTCTGTATTCCAAGCGTGTGGATCAAATGGTACCTGCACCTGCGGCGATGTGGGACGCGATTTGACACCATCACTGGATGCATCGCTATCAACACCCTCTTTTGTCGCTGTTGTTGTTGTTATTGGTGTTGTTGTTGTTGCAGTTGCTGTCGTAGGTACACTTTCACTTGCCACATCTGCACCACTAGTCACATTAACACTTTTGTGTAGATTTTTTTCTTCACCGTCGGCATTTTGTGGTAACGTCCCTGGTGAATTTGATTTCGCGCGGTTGATTTGAGATATCGTTCTCGCCGTGTTAACATTATGGCTACTATTAGCGTCTTTTTGTAGGCTGTAACAACTACGATCGTGAGAAGTCGTGAGAAAATGTCCATTATCGAAACCATCGCTTTCATTATCACTTGCACTAACTGGAGTGCTTATGGTACTTGTACTCGTGCTGGTGCTCGTGCTACTGTCGTAGTTACTACTACTACTACTACTGCTACTACTACTGGTGCTGGTTGTACTTGAACGTCGTCGCCTTCTTTTGCGAGAAAGCGTACTGCGTGCCGTTTTGGAACTTGTGGGAGTGTCCGCGGTTGTAGCTCGACTTTTCGCCTCTTCCAAGCGGGTCGGTACTTTTTCTGACGTTTTGTCGAACTCCTGCGTTTGACCATATTCATGCATTTGAATATTTTGTAAGTCGAATTTAAAATTCTCGACTAATATGGCAGATTTGAAAAACCTAAAATTTTTATAAATTGAATTTTTATTGAGCGATTGATGGTTCAATGTGAGCGCCATTCAAATGTAAACATACATATATATGTTTTCGAATTTTTTTTAATAGCTTTTATTGAATAGTTGATCTGCACTGCGACCTTTGATCTTTTGTTATCAGTTTATACCTGAATATTTATCAACAACAATATTTTATGTAGTTTTAATGAGTTTAATGAATTAAATAATTTTTTGATTTATTTCACATAACGATTTTTGCTTTTATGTTTAGTTCTCATTCTTAACCATGAAGCTTACACCTTTCAACAATTTTGAACTTAATTTTTTATTTATTTTTTTTTCTTTGCTTTGTTTTATTTTATTATTATCATTTATATTAGTTCTATTTCTTTCAAATTTATTAATGAATCGGTGAGTTGTTATTTATCATTCTGAATATATAATTTCCTTTTTATATTTGTCTATTTGTTTTTATTATTTTATTTTTATTTCTTCCTAATTTCGGCGTATTCACAACCTTTTTCACATATACATTCGCACATATGTATGTTCATTATTTAATATATTTATTTTATATATATTTTTTAATATTTTACGCAGTTTCAATATTTTTAATTATTTAAATATTTTAGTTGAATTTTTTCACAAAACGATTTTGGGTTTTTAATTTGAGCTTATAAATTTTCAACTTAATTTTTTGATTATTTTATTTTTATTTCTTCCAAATTTATTAATGAAAGTGCCGAATTTACAATGCATTTGTCACATATACATATGTATGTACGTATGTTATTTAATTTTTTTGTTTCATATTTTTTTTATATGTCAATTTTCACCATAGACGAATTTTTAACTTAATTTTTATTATTTTTTCTTTATTTGCTATGTTTTATTTTATTTTTAACAGTTATTTTAATTTTATTTCTTCCAAATTTATTAGTGAATCGGGGAGTTGTTGTTTATCACATCCAATATACATATGTATATATATCTTTTTTTATTAATTGTTTATTTTATTTTTATTTCTTCCAATTTTTTTTTATTATGTATTTTATTTTCCATTTTTTGTTATTTTTTCACATATTTATTTTTTATTTTTTATTTTTATTACTTAAATGTATTAAATAAGCACAAACACAAATGCATAGGAATTTATTTTTATTTAATTTTTAATAAAAAAAAATTTTCACTATAAAATAGTGGTTTATTTATGCTGCATCCAGCTCAATGCATGATCATGCTCATATTCAATTTCCAACTATCCCCTGTATTAAATGTAATTTCTTTAAAAGGCAACAAATTTCCAATTGCTTGCAAGCTTTCAACACTCGTTAAATAAATCCGGCTTAAAATTGTTGTAAAGCAACGATATCGAAAAGAAGTTGAAAACGAATTGCAAAAAAAATGTATTTAATTCCAAAATACAAAAAATGTGATTCACGTAAATAAGTTAGGCTTTCCAGGAAATCTTGGCGTACAAAAACTTGACCGTTGTGTTGTGAATCATAGCGTCAACTCCCGAGCCGTGATCCGTGTTTTGCTTACTTCACACTTCTTTTACACATCTGTATGTATATATTGGTTGCAATTTTCCATGCAAAATGTAACAGCAAAAGTTTATGGAAACTTTCATTAACGGAAAACACTGAAACACTTTTTCAAAAAACAAAAAAAAAATTTTCCAAGTTCCGCAAGCATCCGCCGGTTGCGCACGCTTTAAAATATAGCAGCGTTGTTGATCACACAATCTCTTGCCGACTCCAAGCACAACCGAACAACAAATGATTATGAATGTCGATCGCAAATTAAGAAATCTTCTACGTAAAAACCACAACTGAAAGCTTTGATACTCGCGAAAAATGTATGAATGAACTTACAAATTGCACGAGAGCGCGAGCGTGAGAGAGAATCTAAAGCATGACTAAACATATTTACGGAACAATCTACTATTGAGACGTAGGGAATTCACGTTGACTGTAAAGATAGACAGCGCATTTGTCCAGAGCTAGTGCCGAGATCTAGCCACTAACCTGGCCGCCGTGCGCATTAGTCATATTTGTTTACATTTTCGCATACATACATACATGCTACTGACACACAACAATAGTTAATAGTTTTTTTTTCAACTTTTATCGTGGGCTCGTATATTCAAAAAAATTATATGAATTAAAGTAAATTACATATTGTATAAATTTTGCTATGTTTAGTATGTTAATGGAGCAAATATATGTACATACATATGTATATTAATATAATTTACCCCTGTAGGGAAAACCCGAATGAGTCAAAGCTTTATAAATTGGTGCGCGAATTTCAATACAATAATTGTGTATGTTTAGCATCAAATTGAAATGTATTTTATTCACGTACTTACATATGTATTTTTATTATATTCATTAAACAAAATAAAATTAAAATTTTAATATATGGCTAAAAAATTATTCTCAGCAGATTACAGGCGTCCCAACTTTATAGATGTCTTAACTTTTACGGTTGTATGGGTTTATTCACGAAAAAGGTCTATTTTCAAAAAAAAAAAAGAAATATTTTATTCAAACCCTCGGAAACGCGGTAAAACGCATAACATTACAACATCAACCAAAGTGAAATAACTTGTTTTAGTTAATACCATAAACTATAATTAGTAATTTTCAGGCACTTTTGACAACCGACTTTGAAAACATGATTTCGAGAAAAACGCGTTTAAAGCGTTGAGCTTACCAACCTTGTAGCGCAGACCTTCCGAAGGCTGTATAAACGAAACTTTTACTAGGGGCGACTAAAATATTTAGGAAAATATACTCAAGATGTTGTAGAAATTATAAAAAAAAACAAGAAGGCACCACTATCTACATTATTTTATATGTATATTATTTAAGCGAAAAAATAGATGTAGCTCATCTGAATCCGAACTTTTTTAATTTTTGATTACCTTTGATTAATTTTCCCGATATATCCATCTCAAAACTCAATTTACTGCATAGTTTTCCCTTCAATAATTAAGTCTTGTTGTTATTGTTGCCGTTGTAGTGCAAAAATATTTCTTTTTGGGAAATATTACGGTGGTAACAATGTTTGGTTGGAAAAAATCCACGTCTTTCCGTTCTAAAGATCCGGTTGTCGTGCGAACTATTGGAATTTCGCCACCTTACGACAGGTATGCCTTACCGCAGGTAAACTCTTGACTCCCAACCCGCATGTGTAAAAAAGTTTAGTGTTTTCTTTTGGTTTCAAGCGAAGTTGTCCTTTTTTAAACTTTTTTCAATTTAATTATAACAGTACAGGCCGCTTAACGCTTCAGCCGTTCCGAAGCGCCAATTTCATAAGTTTTGACATACAAAAATTGCTTGCATTTATAGTTTAACAAAGATTCAATAATGGTTGAAATTATTTGGCATTTTCTAACCTAACTATGGCGAAATCCCTTGGCCAATCTAATATCTTCAAGGCCAATTCTGTATGTACATAAGTCTTTTATTTGATATAGAAAAACTAATTTAAAATTAATTTTCTATAACTTGGAATGCTAGTCTGACCAGATATTGAACCCATGACCTTCTCCATGGTACGACGCACCGCTAACCACGCATCTAATTGTTTTCATTTACTGCTTCATCTCTTCACCGTGCATAAATTTTTCTTGCAGGGCATATTTATATCACCTCTATTTACATATTTGCACTCATTCAAAACATACGTCATTATTTATTAGAATCTCTAGCCCTCTTACAATGTATACTCAACTACGTCACCTAAGGAATGTGTACAGACATGCATATCTAGATACTATTTGATTTGGATATGTGAGAGGAGAGAATTTTTTGCACTTGAATCCAATTTTATATCCACATGAAAGCAGACAAACAAGTAATTCTACATGAGTACAACTGAGAGTCATGGAACAAAACCGAAAACGTTTGCAATTTTCTGCACATGCGGCTGGTTTATTGTACATACATACATAACAACAACAACAAACACATGCCATGAGAGTAAATTTTTAAATGTTGGAGATTCCCCAACAATTATTGCTTGCGTAGTTAAGATGAGAAAAAATCTCATTCATTCAGATGCCTGTATATATGTATGTATGTATAATATATTCATTCATAGATATTTTTCTGTAGCGTCATGATTCGTGGAAATTCAAATGAGTGTGTTTTCGTTTTCTTCGATTTAATCATTCGTCATTGTTGTTGTTTTTTTTCTATTTTTGCATCATTTTTGTAAAATAATTAATTTGGTAGCGATCGCTACTCGGCAATGTTTGATTTTGGTTGCATTTTGGCTGTATATATATATTATTTGACTCTGTATGGCAATGCCACCAAACATGCATTTGTACATATGTGTGTATGTATGTGAATATCCGCAGAACTGCTAATTATTTTTACGAATTGTATATATGTATATTAACTTAGAGCTCATCGGCCTCGCAGACCGGCAGATCGAAAATATGAATGAATGTATTTTCGAAAAAATATACTTCTATTGGCTAACAGTCTGCTAGCACCACTAATCTAATTTGATCTGTTAATTAAATAATTAACTAAGAAGGCGCAAACTAAGCCATAATGAATAAATTTAACAGTATTTGTATTTTCCCTGAAACAATTGAATGCTGTCAATGAAATATGTGATCTTTCACGAACTTCCACGTAAAGGTTAATTTCCGTATTTTACGAATAGCATCCGTATTTCATCTTGTACTTTTTTCGCATGCAAATTGATTTTGCATAAATTACACTTACAAAATATACTCTAATATTTCTAGATGCAATATATCGTTTATTTTCAATGAGGATGATTCCGAATTTTTAATATCAACTGGATTTGTTCAGAACTTTCAAGTGTTCGTATACAAAGTTAACGTAGATCCCACATTTAAGGGGTAAAGCCCCTCTAGGATTTGCTCACAGTCTACTTTAAGATCCTAGAAATGATATGCCATTCCTTTTAAAGTAAAAAAAATATTTCAAATAGCTGAACTTTTTATTTTGCTGTAGCCCCTCTTTATAAAAACTATTTATAACCGGGAAGACTGATTATTGGGACCTTATTGCATCGATTTATCTGAAATTTTAATGGTGGCTTCACAAATACTTTTTTTTTATGAGGTAGGTAGCCGTTTTTCGATTAAATGTAAACTTTTTTATAATAATTTAGTGCGTATTTTTTTAGTCAAAAATCCATCTTTTAAAAAAAAAAGTGTGCCTCTTTCACAAATATTATAAAAAAATAAATCCATATGCATGTTTTTCCAAAGACCATTGTTTGCAGAACATAAAACTTTCTGATTTTCTGTTCTAGATCTCATCCTTTAGAGGAAATCGGTCTTACCGTGGACGCTTTTCAAAAAAAAAAAAATTGAGAACATTTTTTTTAATACTTCAATATATCTTCAATTAAATAGTTAAATAGAAAATCGTTTCCCTTTTCCACATTCCTACAGTAATTTTAAAAAAAATTAGTATATTTTTCATCGTCTAGAGTAGAGTAGCCTTACTCTTTAATGAGAGATTTTGCGAAAAAAATTTCAACTACCTAATTTTGTAAAGTGAAATTATCCCTGTCTTGCGGTCGCAATATCCGAGTGGTGCTGCCTATCTGCAGGCCAGTGCTCAAGCTCTTGTTCGACTAACATCCAAAGCTATAGAAAATCAATTTTTCTAAATGCAGTCGTGCCCTAGCAGAAAATGTCAAACCCTCTGAGGGTATTTCTGGCATAAAATAAAGCTCCTAATAAAATTCCAAGAGGCATACGGAGGCGGCTTAGAATAAACTGTAGGTCCTTCCGTTTGTTGGAAAAAACATCGAAACGAGGAAATCGCATTGGTTGAAACATTTCGAAATATTTTCGTTAAAGCAGTTGTCAAAATAATTTTTTCTTTTCATTTTTACACGAAATGGTATGCTGTCGTTAAAGTTAAATCGTTAACAGATGATCTTACATCATGGCAAGAGCCGTTTTAAAATTAACGTTAACGTTAAGATTGTGAGAATTATTTCAATTTTTTTCATGTTATCTAAATGAAATGAAAATGGCGGTTGATAAGTTTCCGGCCTAAGGTAAGTAATAAAAAGAATATATAGTTTTATTTTACAATGTAGTCTCCCGGAAGTGAATACATTGCCTTTATACCACTGAAAAAATAGTTTTTTACGGCCAATTTCGTCGCATTGTCGTCTGAAAATCTTCATCCCCGTAACTCTTTTTTGAAATTTGGAAAAAAGCAAAAATTCACTGGGACTGTGGTCCGGACTGTAGAGTGAATGCCCAATTTTTGTAAATCCACTAGCTTTTAAGGTGTCCCTCGCAACCCGAGCGGTATGAACGGGTGCGTTGTCTTGAAGAAACAGCACTCTGCGCGCTAATTTGCCACGTCTCTTCTGTACGACTGCCTCACGCGCTTGAGTCAACAAACTAGCGTAATACTGGCCGTTCATTGTAGTCCCCAAGTAACCAATTAATAATATTCTCTCGCTATCTCAGAAAATCATAGCCTTAAACTTCGACAGCCGACCTTTCCACTTTTAATTTTTTTTTATGGCCTTTCCCCTTTTTTATCCAGCGCACCGACTCCTGTTTGGACTCGGGATCATACTAATGAACTCATGTTTCATCAACTGTTCCAATGCGGTTGCAAATTTCATTCAAATCATCTTGGCACTACTCCAAAAAAATTGTAAAACTCCAATCCTCTTATTGGTGTTAATTCTGCTATCTGCCACAATTTAATCCTTCGATTAGCCAGTAATAATTTTTCGACTTTCTGGACGTTTTCTTCGGTCACGACAAACAATAGGCGACCTGGCACTGTGGAGGTCATCTTCACACGTCTCTCTTACTTATGGAAACAGTCGAGCCATTTTTTTCACCATGGTATATCAAAACAATGAAAAACTTTTTAACATACATTTAATAAAGCAAACAGCTGCCCATTTATGGTGTAGACGTACCATTAGGAAGCAGTCAGCTATATTCGACATACCAATAGTATAAGAAAACACAACAGGGTACAGCTAACGACACGATAACTACTTCAAATTGAAAATACTCTTATCGATATTTTAACTGCTTGCTAAAATCATTTGTTCGAATAGTATAAAAACCTTTGTCCATTTCTCTGCTTGTGGCTGTAGCAGCCGAGGAGCATAGTGAGAGTATAGGACTCGAACCCTGATTAGAATCTATCTCAAATTTATAGAACATAATTTAAAAAAAATCGTAACTTGTCTAATTCCGTTCGCGGCCAAAATAGCCGAGTTCTTAACATTTCGTGCTGTCACTTGGAAAACCAGGGTTCGAGTCTTTTCCCGATTAATATCTAAAAATCATAGAAAAGTAATTTGCATAACAAATTAAGCTAATTTTTTTAATTGCCGTTGCTCCTTTGGCAAGGAATGTCAAGTCCTCTTAGAAGAATAATCCAAAACAAAACACAATTATACCAAAAATTTCTTCCAAATAACATTCCGATGACTTAGAATTGGATATACTCCACATCTGCATAAAATCCGAGTAATCCATAAAGTGAAGTATAAACGGAAGAAGACCAGAAAAATCAGGTGGAGTAAGACCTGGCTGCACAGGTGGCGTTGTTATACACAGTATACACCTCGTATATTCGAAATACACAACAACAAAAATTTTAATAAGTACGACGTTGGATATTTAATATTTTTCTATTAAAAAACATTTCATAATAACTACCAACATCTAAGATCGATTAAATTATGTTAATTTAATTTATTTACAATTGAAGGAATGATGTAGGCCTGTAATAAAATTAAAAATATTTTTCGCACAAAAGGATTCTTGAATTAATTTTCTTTGATATTCATCATGAGTAACAACAATTAAAGGATTTATTTAAACTTTATTTTAGAAAACATTTGAACCATTTAATGTTAAACAATTATCGCAATAAAAACTTTGCAAAGATCATTGCCATATACACGAGGTACCCATCGAGCAGGTTCCTTCGTGTATCCCAGCCCAATTCATTAGCAATGATTTCGTGGGCCTTCGTCAATGTTGGACTTCACCAGAGCAGTGACAGTGACGTCATCAGTGGAAAAGTTCGTTCGGGGTCGCCTTTTACGAAAAAATGTCCGTTCTGGGTTCTTCGGAACCACTTAGAAATATTATGTGCATTCGTTCCATATGTAATTTCGCAGACACTGAATATTTCTATTGGCTGTAAATTACGCAGAAATCCGAAGAGAATCACATGGGGAATTTCTGCTTGCGTTGGTGATGGAATTTGGTGACCTATCCTCAGCTATCTTGCGTTTTCTGGTATCCATTTTAGCCGATCGCTCTAAAATTTGAAAAGAAGACTAACTCAGTAATTGCAAAGGATTTGGTATTTTTACTTTTTCGGAGACACAAGTTATATGACTTTAAACAAAAAAATATATAATAAAATGCGAATCGAGGGCTTTCAACAAAACTGATGACAAAAAAGAACTCGGACATATACAAACCATAAAATTTAAAAATATTATTTAAAGAGAAACAAAATATTCTTAATATTTGGCCGGCAAGCCTTTACCAAAATAGCGGCCTCTTGATCTGTCTTATTTCTAATAACATGCATTTTCAGTTTATTTTCCAAATGAGCCCACAGATGTTCAATTACGTTAATGTCGGGAGATTGAGGAGGTTATACATCAACCATAAACGGACATCAAGTGCTTTATGCTTGGGATCGTTGTCTTGGTAGTACTGGAAATTGTCTTTAATTCCCAACTTTTCCGCAATTCGCACTGAATTTTCTTTAAAAATGGTCAGATATTGTTTGTGGTCCATATTACCATTTATGAAACACAAATTTCCAGTGCCAGCTGCGGACATACAACCCCATACCATTACTGAGCCACCCCCGTGTTTAACAGTCGGACGTAAATTCTTTTCTAGTAACTCTTCATTCGGTTTTCTCCGAGCATACGACTGTCCATCTGATCTAAATATAAACATACGTAAGTACATATGCACAACGCATCGCATCAATATGGACGTACATACATACATATTTGCAGATGCTGTTAACTTGCCCTATTTCTTCATATTTCTGTGCTTGAAATCGGCAACTGTGGCGGAATATAATCCTGTTGTTATAAATTTTATTAATAATTATTGCAAAATTTCACATCTTACCTCCTAGCGTCTGAAAACTGAAAAAGTAATCGGCGTAAACTCAGAGTATAGAGGAGCATGAAAACTCTTTGTTTTTCTTCCCCGAAGTATACCGCACAAACTAGATGCCGCTGGTGTCGCAGAGTATGGTGAAATTAGATTTTTTATTGTAGTAGAATTTTCAAATTATATATTTTTAATCCGAATCCGTTTTTCTTAATATATATATATCTTTTTTTTTTTTTTTTTTTGAATATAAGAAGTTCAAAATATAAGGATTATTCCGCTGAAATTGAGAATTTCTATTTAATACCTCTTATTCTTAGGCCAAATAAAAAAGTGGTTTGTAGAGAATAAATAAACACTAAAATAAAAATAATATTCTATACAAATTTCTATTTTTAATTCCAATATTCTTTAAGCGTTTCTAGCTTTCTCCTACTTCTTACTACTATTGTACAACAAAACCCAATTGAAGCTTTTTTATTTTCAAAATTTGTATGATTAAGATTATATAGCTCATACATATCTACATATGTATGTATGTACATACATTCGTACTATTACTGTTTATCAAAGCGGGAGTAAAGGTTTTGAGCCTAGCATACTCGTATGTCCACTTTGAACATCTTCATTTTATTTTTAAATATTCTGTTAATAAATAATAAAGTTAATATTATTAACACACAATTTTATATTACTATCTTCGTACCATTTTTGCAGGCATTTCTGAAATTCGTTGAAATATTATGTATAAGTTAAATTCACCCCGACCAGGTTGCTTATTGGCATAATATTTTTCTTGGTGAATTTCTTAGAAAGTACTATTTGAATAAAAGGCGCATTGAAAATATACAAATATAATAAATATTAGAATATTTGAATATAATAACAAAGTAACTATAATACATTATTATGCAGATCACATTTTCCATCGAGAAAATATGAAACAAATTATTTTAGTGGACATTTTTGAGAAAATTTGTTTTAAAGATATTAAGTAATATTCGGCAAAGCTGGCTGTCAAAATCTATGTTCAAACCCAAGGTACCTTTGTCAAATAAATAAGCTGTTCTAAGTTATTAGCTGATTTCGTAAAACAGCTGATAGTTTCCATTCTCTGCTAAAACTTTCAGAAGTAAAATTTTCAAAGGCCATATATGAATTAATGCCTATAACCATAATTAAAAAATTTTGATACATTATATGTTACTCTTCTTACTACAAAAATTATTATAGTGGTAAAGCGGCAAAATCATGGGATTGTAGTAATGAAATGGTTACCTCCGACGTGTAGAGTAATAAATAATTTTTAAAAATCAACCCTGATGTGTAATTGAAATTGGTTTTGACAGCAATTGAAGTTGTCAAAAATGTACTTTAAACTTATTGGAAAACTAGTCAGCTCTGCTACCCGTCGGCCATTTTGCGAATGCGCACGAACTTGTTTTTCTTTTCAGTTAATAAAAAAATGCCGAATGCGTTGGGTGTTGTACATAGTGTAGTATTGTCGCTCTTCGTAAATAAATACAAATAACATTGCAGATGAATATTGTTTAGCCTGAGAATAATTTCCAGCTTATTTAATTGGTAGATAATCTGAAAAATAGCGTTCTTGCTTAAACTGATACTTACAATTTAGAATGGAACTTAGGCTTATTTTCGAATTGGCCAAATAAAAGAGCTAGGTGTAAAGGAAGTGAATAAATAGAATACGTTTGCTTGTGAATGAACATTAGCATATTTATAATCCGGGCGTGTATTGAATGAAATTTGAAAATATTCATATTAAAAAATATACCGTGATGTGTGCCCTTCCTGTTGACTCATTATGCCGCACAAATGCGCATAGTATCTCATGTGCATATGTAAATATATAATGCTATGCCTCTTCACTTCAAGAATGGCTTCATTTTCCAGACTTGGTTTTTACTCTTCCAGCGTTTCGTCAACGTTCTAACACACGGTTGGATTTATGTATCCGCGATATTTATGCTACATAATAATTGCTTTATTTCGCGGTGTTACGCATTGTTGACTTGTTTGCTCTATATGTTTTGGTTTGTCATTTTTTCCAACTGTCATGTTATTTTGGATTTGTGCATACACTTTAAAAATTTAACAATAATAATGTATTGGACTATTGTAATTTTAGTGCAAATAATCAAAGAAGGAAGTGCTTTGATTAACAAAACAAATTACAAGAATCATTTAATATGAATATAGAATTGAAGGCAACCACTTGTTGATGCTTTTGAGGTGCCCGTATTAGTTGCATCTTCTGATTATATTTATACGTATAAAAATATAAAAAAATTTTCATTGATATTTTCATTTTCTGCTCAATCGTTTTGCTGACTAATTTGTTATCTATTTCATTTCAGATTTTGTCTATATAAAATAATCATATAAAATTTAAATCCATCAGACATATCATAACAGTTCAGCCAGAATGTTAAAATTTATACGTGGAAAAGGTCAACAACCATCAGCGGAAAGACAACGATTGCAGAAGGAACTTTTTTCATATAGAAAGGTGAGGCCATAAAATAAATAACTAAACTGCGGAAACAATATGTTCGAAACATTTTTTTTTCTCAACGCACCAAAATACATTACTAATTTTAGCACACAGATACAGTGTTAATGAATTTATGTTAATGCCGAAAAATGTCTGTCTGCTTTCCGTCCGCCGACGTATAGGATAACTTTTAAGTATAGTTTGGTATATCATGTTTCTCTAAGCTCATTCTTGGTTAAATTTCAAAAGCGGAAATCAAAATTTTGCCGATTCCAGTATCCGATGTTTGTAACAAATCTGTGAATTTAGTACTACACCAAGCAAGACACATGAAATTGGGAATTTATGTTGGATGTGGCAAATCCGAATAATTAAAACAACCAAAAATTTGTCAACTTATTCTTAATTTTTTCATTTAATGCATGCTACACCGGGGTTAAAACAATGATTGTAACGTCACCACATTCAGACATATATACATTAAACATGTGTATATAGGTATGCATTTTCTGTATTATCAATTATTTTCAATGATAAAAAATGTATGTAAACAAGGCTATTATTTATCTAAATTCTTTAGAATGTTACGCTAGGCAAGATAACACCATTTGCCGTAAATAATACTTTTGTGAAACCTACAGGTGAACTATGACTAAGTTAATATATACACAGCCATTAATCGTTCGTAAGTCACATTTATATAAAGAATAATTAAAGTACACACGTACACAGAGTCGTACATACATAAGTATGTATCATAAAACCCTTATCAATCAGAAAAAAACCTTCTTAGCAAATACACAATTGATACTTTTAAAAATTTCTTCGTGTTTATAAATGATTTTATATACTCGTATGTATGTACATGCCTTCATAATATGCACTTGCTTAGAACATGTTAATATTTTTTTTTTTTTTTATAATTACACAACAAATTTTTACTGTGTATTCAATCAGTTTACCTGTGGTCGCATTACCCTCATTATACATACACTTACAAATGTATATACTTATATATGTAGCCATTGTCTATACAACTCCCTACATGCATATTGACTTTTAAATAGATAGTTGGTAGTTTGCCGCTTGTAATAGATACGCAAAGCGCGTAGTCGTCATCACCCAACATAACCCGTTTAGCCACTTCTTTGCTGGCATTATTGCCATTTCCTTGTTTTTGGAGCTTTTGTTTTTTTTTTTTCTTTCTCCTCTACCATTTAATGCACGCGTCTTAATCCACGTCATGATTTAGAAATGAACACGAGTGGGTGTTGGTGTAACTCACATTAAAATGCCGGTTTTCTTTTACAATAAATTAAATTTTGCAATCAAATGTTGATTTAATCAAAGATAATGCTAATGTATTTACGGTTAACTTTGTAATTTTCTAAAGACTATATAACATAATAATTAATATATATATATATATATATATATATATTTATTGATATTTTAATAATGATTGGTATTGTGCTAAAATTGGTTATTGGTAAAATGTTCCCCTTTTTGCGTGTTCGCGCTTAATTTATCTTTTATTGTATTTAGTGCACACAACAATATAAAATCCTTACCTAGCACACCTTAAAAATATAAATAGCATTGACAAACGTACAATGTAGTCTTTTGAAACAGAGCATTCCAAATTTTAGGCTTCAGAAGTTAAATCCAAGAGTACGAAGTGCTTAATTTAATACTGGCACTCATTGCAATTTGTGTTATTACATAAATATGGTGTAGCCTTGAGGTGCGAGAGTTACAGCGGATAAAAAAATGAAAATGAATTAAAATAAGCAAATTTGAAATTAATAGTCTTTCCGTCGAACTTACCCTAGAGAATTCGATTTTTTTTATCATAACATACAGAAAGCAAAAACCAAAAATGAGTTCAAAAATGATTTTCAAATTAAAAATTAAAAATAGTAAAATAGTTACCCTTTAGCTTTAGTATATCATATATGACAAATTTGAAATTTTGGTACATAAAATAAAGTATCTAAGGTCATGCATACATTGGTCCCACACCTAATGAAAACTATAGAAATCAACGACTACAATATATACATAGCTCACATACACGAATTTGTGCAGTAATGTGGCTTTGGTCAGAACTCCGCCAAAAAGCATCCAAACGCATGGAACTTTGACGCTGCTGTTATTATTATTATTATTGTTGTTGTAGCAACTAAAATTTCCTTGAAATGAGGTATTCTACATTCGTATATAAAAATAAACAATGTCACCGAAAATCTTCGAAATCGGAGGACTTTATTATATAGCCTTCATACAACCGATTTGCTCAGATCTGAGAGGGAGAATATTTATATTCTATTCATATATATATACGCAAGTAAACATTGACAACAAAATCAAAATTATTGAAATCTGAAAACGAGATATTTGTAGATAATGTATGTATATAATAAATTAACGATTTTCATACAAAAAAAAAATCTTTTTTTTTTGCGCAAAGGTCATATGTATGTAAATATATATGTTTTTATGATATTTGTATAAAAAATGAAATTCAAAGGTTAAGTCAGCCAATCATTTCTGAATAAAAAATTCATAGTCACTATATATGTACATATGTATGTACCTATTTATATTCAAACCTCCTTCGAACCACCTTTTTTTATTTCAAAACAGAAATATAAGAGTAGGAGTCAACATCCCCTGCCAAGAAAAAACCCAATTACAAAAACTTTGTTCTAAAATTCGAATCCAATCCACTACGCTTGGTAGAACGCACTGTGAACCCTCGAATAGTGCACCTGGCAAATTCAAACAATATTTCTTAATAAATTCTTGCACTTACTTCATTATGTACGGGGGCTTAAAATGTCTTTCTTCAAGACTTGTCTCAAGGTTGCTAGTTATTTTCATAAATTTATGTCAACTCGATTATTCTTCGTTCGTATAATAAATAAAATTACAAAATATAGCAAATATGTTTTTATATATCTTGTAATAATAGTCACATACATATGTATATAAGATAGTAAATATGTAATTCGGACAGGTGTGGTTGCAATTACTTACCTATGTACATATACATATACGTATATGTGTGTGTGTATGTGCGTATTTATATATTTATTATGTATAAGAATTAATATCTTTATTAAGTAATAACGTAAATATATATGTATATACATAAGCAGTTCATATAAATTGTATATACATATATATATTTACATTTGTACATACGCTGCATACATAACCAGCCGGTGAGTAAGTCAGTAAAATGTTGTCTGATAAGCGTCGCTGGTTGTATGTACTGAAGAGATAAGATATGAAGTTCAAACTAAAACAATTTAAAAAATTGATAGGCACCTGTTGTTGTAACTTCTTTAAGCAAACAAACAAAAGAGCAATTGCAACAGTGATGGCATTGTTTAAACTTTGTATGTCAGAGATATACATAAGCACATATCTATATAAGTGTGTAAGCACATAATTTTATGCTCCTGACTGAATGGCGGCAAATGAAATTCAATAAGTTCAAAAGTCTTATGCTGAACGTAAAATAGGTAAAATCAAAATATTTGCTAACAACTTTATAACTGAAAATTTCAAAACACTTTTTATACATCATACAAAGAATTTAAAAATGAAATCATTATTTATAAATGCTAAATGCTAATTGACATACATACTATATGCAATATGCCAATGTTGGAATTGGAATGATATTTTCAGCAAAATTTTTAAGCAACTCAAAGGTGAAGAAAAGGAAGATAAACAAAAAATGCGAAAATCCTTTAGGTGACATTGTCTCGTGACTGTATACCAAATTGGTATCACTGAATATGTGTCACTTTTATATCTAAAAATAAATACAAAACAATTTGTTGATGTTTTTAAAACGTGTATTTAATAGGTATATTTTTAATTTAGCAGCCAGCCGCCGGCTGCACCTATAAAATGATAATGGGTATTTTTCTTTTTTTTTACAAATTACCTCTTACGCATTCCTCAAATTTTATCCATTAAAGATGTAAAAATATACAAAAAATAAAAATAAAAATTATCATAACTTGCGCAGCACTACAATGTGGTTAGCATTACGTACTGCCATTTGGAAGATACGGGTGCAAATCTTGGTGACGTACTTACATCCAAAAACTTAAAGAAAATTAATTTAAATTAAAAATTACGCTCAATTTTATAATTGCGGTCACCCCACGGCAGGGAATGTCAATCACTCCTAGTGTATTTCTGACATGAAATAAAACGCCTCATAAAAAAAAAAACATCAGCCATTCGGAGGCGGCTTAGTATAAACTATGGCTTTCTCAATTTGTTCTAAGAACATCAAGACGTAAAAACATAAAAGTTTGGAGGAGTTCAGAATCGGCTGCTGCAGCTGCAGTTCATCGTATACTTGTGGAAGTTGACCGAAGAAGAGTCATGCAGAGAGTGGTTTCGACGCTTAAAAAGTGGTGACTTTAGCATCGAGCACAATGAACATCTTAAAGAGCCCAAAAAATTTTGAAGAGGTTGAATTGAAGGTTTTACTGGATCAAGATCAAGCGGAATCATTACCTCGAATCAACTATAACGAATTCGCTTGAGTCGTGCTTTCCTACAAAAACGACCAGAAACCACCGAAAGAGGCATGACAAGGTTTTTTTTTTGCAATATGACAACTCTTGGCCCTACATAGCTGTGACGATCAAAAAAAACTAGCTGAGAACACTGAGCGGACTCGCCTTTTTTTTAAATGGTTTTCGAAAATTACCAGCGGGATGGGGAAAAGTGGTCGCTTTCAACATTTTCCAATAAGAGTTGTTATTTTGATATTCAAAGAAACTTTTCCCTTAAAAGATCGATGACTTCGCTGGTTGTGTGCCACGTAGCGACGTCTTGGTGAAAATAAATGTTTTCCAGATGAATACCATACAATTCCGGCCATAAGAAATCATTAATAACCTCTTGACAGCGCAATCCATTCATTTTCGAAAAGAAACCACGCCAACAACGTTGAGGATCGAGAGGCTTTTCAACAATAAATCCTGGGTTTACCCAGCCCCAGTTGCAACAGTTTAGCTAATTGACATAGCTATTGCGGTGGAAATGGGCCTCATCAGGCAAGATGATTTTTCGAAGAAATATTTATAGTGAATTTTAATAAATTCAATGCACTGTTGAAGCGTGTAACGTTCCAATTTTACTACTGGTGTAGTTTTGTACTTTTCAACTGTCAAAAAATTACAGCTACAAAAGTGACATCTACCGGAATAGCAGCTCTTAATAGAAAACTTGCATTAAATGGTATATTTTTTACATTTTTTTTAATAAAAAAATATTTTTGGAACAAAAAAAAACGGCCCAAATAATTTGCACATCCCATATTACAAATAAACTTTAAATCAAATAAAAATTAATGCAATCCTTGATAATTTTCAGGGAGAAACCTTTTTTCAGAGAATTTCTAGGCAAACAAACATCCAAATTCACCTTCAAAATATGTTTCTATCAAAGTCTTATAATATTTATCTACAATACTGTACAAGTAATCTCGTTATTGAATTTTTTTTTTTTTTTTTTTTTTTTTTTTTTTTTTTTTTTTTTTTTTTTTTTTTTGCAGACCAAAGAGTAATGCTGAAAAATATTGCAAAAAAAAACTCTTACATGCATGCATAGAAGTATATATTTGAGCACTTAACATATGTATGTATGTGCATACTGTTTATTATTTCAGTAAGTTCATGCTACAACGAACAGCTACTTTTGCTTTCTTTCTAATTTCCATCGTTTGCTCTCTAAGTCAAAATATGTACGAGTATGTATAACGGACAAATAAAGCGAATGGCTTAAAAACTCTTAAGCCTCATTTTCTCCAGTCTTTTAAGCTTTACCCAAAAAGCCAGTAAAAGTCAAAAGAAAATAATTAAGAATATATTGTTAAAAACAAACGAACAAAAAAAAAATAAAGTGAAATAAAATATTCTCCCCTTTGTAGCTTAGAAATGTTGTCTAAAACTTTTAATCTCTCAGTTTCGTGATGTTATTCTATACGGACGGTTTCAAAAAGCAAGACGCAGCAGACGCACACAAAAACGGTTGTGGTGTAGTTCAACAGGTACCGTTTTTTTTCCAACAACTCGGGAGGCACATCATTGATAAATTGAAGGAACTTGAATGTATTTAATTCCTTCAAATGAATTTGATAATTTGAAGGAACTTGAATGTATTTAATTTTTAAATAAATACTTAGTTTTTTTATGTATTTATGTATGTATATATATATATATGTGCATGCAATGTGAATGAGTTTCTTGAATTAACAATATAAATATTTTAAATTTTTTTTTACTAAAAATAAAAGCACGCAAAATTAAAGAATGAGTTATGAATATAAATATTTTTTATTTTAAATTTAAAAATTATAAATTTTTGTATACCCACAAGATTAGTATATTTCAAGACTTGAATTTCGTTGGTCAATTAAGAAAGCATAGAAATAATTATAATTATTGTGTGTCAAAGAAAGTTTAACTACTATACATACATATATATGTATGTGCTATATATACTAACTAGTCTAGTCTGCTGTCAGTATGTACTCAGTGCAAATATTTAAAATAAAGAGCATCCGTTGTTCATAATTACCATACAGTTAAACAAATGCTAACAATTTAGTTTTTTTAGTTCTTTTGCTTATATACTTACAAAGAAATATACATACATACGAACGTATAGCTGTCATCTACTACTACTACCTTGTTATCAAGTGTCATTTTGCATATATGTATCATATGTACTTATATGTATGTAAATTTTCGCCATTGCTTTGTTGTTGTCTTTGACCGGAAAACAAATTACAAAAATAAAAGAAGAAGATATGTATATAGCCAATTAAACTAATATTTTCGCGATCATTACGAAGTAGAGCAGTCGAAGCGCTGAGGTGCACAGTAAAGAATGTCGAAACAATTAAAATATTGAAATAGAAATGGATACATACAGTTTGAAGTGAAGAAGCTACATATCCAGATGTATGTATGTATGTATGTTCATTTCTCCAGCAAGCATTTTATGAATTTTTCGATTACATTTGTGTCTATTTTCGAGATATTAATCATAAATGCGCTCATTTACCGATTTTAAATGATGATTTTCCGCATAATATGAATAATTTAGCAATCATTAAGCTGATATGATGGGGGTGTTATAGGAAGGTAACTTTCTTTGCGAATGAATATCAAAATTTTCTTAAGCTAAAATGACCTGGAAACCAGGGAAGATCTGGTGCTGCACCCCTAAAATACTGTCCTGGATTTATTACCCGGTCGGAAAGAGTTAAGTTAAACACAGCCAATGTTGCCTAACAAAACGATTAAGATTAGCTTGCGTCTGTATAATAGCATGGATGAGAATGTGTCATACACAGTGGCGTGATTCCGTGCTCTCCTTGTTTTTACATCTCTCCATAAAATCATAGAACTTTCACATATAAAAGGCCTGTTGAAGATGATGAAAGGAAGAAGCATATCAATCAAAAAGGGAGCAGAAATAAAAGAAAAGATGCCTCTAACAAATTTCAATAGATATGAACCATCATGGAACCAAACGCAGATACAACAGAAAATAATACCAAACTCGCAAGTATAGTACACAGTTGGATCGGAGACTACAGTAAGAATTGTTGTGTGGATCACATGCGCCAAAACAAGCCTATCGAAAAAAAACCCCAACTTCTTCCAAGCAGAAATGCATTACTTCATGCGTAGATATATACAAAAGGTAGAATGAAATGTTTCAGGAGTCTTAATGAAGTGGAAGAATGTAAAAAAGTTCGGTTCATTTGGATTCCAGTTAGATTTGCAAAGGTAGCGGCCTCAAACTCTGCTACGGGGCCAGAGCACTTCTTCCCTATCACACAATTAAAGAGGAGCCAAGACATGAAGAAATGAGAATAAGAAAAAGGTACTGGTATACTAGTGATGGGATCAGACAAACAAAAATCCTTATGGGCGGGTTAAATACCAAAAGATTTTAAGACATAATATTACTTAGCAAGAGTATCTTAAAAATACTAACAATATTTCTTAAAGAATATTGCAGACTGCGTAAGCATATGCATATACTCGGAATCAGCAGCACCTCCGGACTAGGAGCTGAAGAATTTAGCCGTGGTAAGGCATAACTTTCGTAAGAGGCGACTAAAGTCCAATAGCTCCCGCAACAGTCGGGTCTTTTTACCGGTACGACCCATATTTTTATCAGGCCAAGTACTGTCAGCCGCTCAAAATTCCCCGAATACAAATTCAAAGAATATTTTGCGGCTTCTGTAAGATATTACCAGACTCACCGGTGCACTTACTTTTTGAATACAAAACTGTCGCTAGAGCTCTAGGAGTATTTCAGCCAGAGCAAAATCACTTTGAATAAATCAACTCTTCTAGAATGCTAGGTTTTATAAAAGCGTTAGGTCTGATTGCTGTGCACATCCTTCCTACTCATCTATCCATCTATAGCCCCTGCGATTCTATTAATATTAAACCGTGGGAATATTAAACTTCGAGTAATTCTTTCTTCGATTAGTTGAAGATAAGTGATATTTGCAAAGTGAAAATACGTTCGATCTCTAGCTCTAGTTTGGTATTGAAATAACGATCAGTTCAACGTTATTGTAAAATCACATTTTAGCAGCTAAGATTAAGGAAGTTAATCTATTGCGTAAATATAATAAAAATATTATAAAGGCAGAAATAGTTTGTGAACATAACATAACAAGCTGGCATATGATAAATTTGACCCTATATCGTTAAGCCAAATACCGTGAAATTATTAAAGCCTTATATCCAATCCAGTACAACGTTAATTTTTTTTTTTTCATTTTATTAAAAAATGTATAAATTATCAAATTTATTTACATTTATTATATTTTTGTATATCATAAATACACACAGAAATGAATTTTACTTATTTCATCCACACTCTTGTCTCCTTCTAGACAGTACAGCATGGATTTCCTCACAAACCGTCCGCCGTGGCCTACGATCCGATATCTAAACTAATGGCCATTGGAACCCAAACGGGTGCTATCAAAGTGTTTGGCCAACCTGGTGTGGAATTCTACGGACAGCACACTCTTATCAGCAATTCAGCCGCTGAACTCAATGTGCAGCTATTGGAATGGGTGTACGGGACGGGCCGTGTTTTGTCATTGACTGCCTCCAATCACCTAATTCTTTGGGAACCGGTTGGCGCAACATTGGTTGCCATCAAAACATTACCTTTTGATGGAAAACTGAAGAAAGTTTCATCGCTTTGTTGTTCGTTAAATAAAGATATTGTTTGGATTGGTACTGAAGGTGGTAATATATATCAATTCGATTTGAATTCATTCTCAATTCGCGAGCCGGTTATTTATCATGATATTGTGTTGGAACAAGTACCACCCACATACAAGCTAAATCCAGGTGCTATTGAATCGATTCGTCAGTTACCGAATGCGCACAATAAATTGTTGATTGCATATAATCGTGGATTGTGTGTTTTATGGGATTTGGAAACATCTGCAGTGATACGCGCGTACATTGCGCCCGGTCATGGTCAAAGTGTTGGACTGTTTGTAAATGCGGATGGCACACAATTCACTTGGTATCATGCAGATGGTTCGTACGCCTCGTGGAGTTTGACAAATGCTGAAGCGCCGAAAAATGTCAATTACGTACCATATGGACCAGATCCTTGTAAAAGCATTAATCGGCTTTATAAAGGCAATCGAGGGTAAGTTTAGTTATTTGGATTGGTACTGCTATTGGCATCCTTAATACAAATACGTATTTTGCACTTTTAATCCCCCAGTACCGCTGAAGTCGTTATATTTTCTGGTGGCATGCCACGTTCAGCATATGGCGATCATAACTGTGTATCTGTGCATGCAAGCGACGGCAATAAGGTGTGTTTGGACTTCACATCGAAAGTTATCGACTTTTTTGTGACATACCAAAATAATACCGATAACGTCCAAGTACTTGTCGTACTATTGGAAGAAGAGTTTTGTGCCTACGATTTAACTGATAGCAAAGTTCCTGTTATTAAAGCACCATATTTACATTCAGTGCACGCCTCGGCTGTGACATGCAATTACCTTGCATCGCAAGTTAGCCAGGAAGTCTACAACAAAATCGTGCATGCTGGAGAGGAACAAGATGCTGATTGCAGCCACATAGAATGGCCCATAAATGGTGGCATTTTGGATGAGGAAGTGCCTGACGATATCGACAATGAGGATGCGCGTTTATATGAAATATTGTTGACTGGTCATGAGGATGGCTCTGTCAAATTTTGGGATTGCACTGGCGTCGTACTGAAACCACTTTACAATTTTAAGACCGCGCTATTATTTGGGTAACTTGATAATTAAGTTTCATTAAATACGTATATAATTATATTATTTCTTACTTAAAGGCATGAAAATCAAGATGATATACCGGCAGAGTCCTCAGAACCCGTAGATGAGTCGGAACCACCATTCCGAAAATCAGGTCTATTCGATCCATATTCCGACGATCCCCGTTTGGCGGTTAAAAAAATAGCATTGTGTCCCAAAACCGGTCGACTTATTGTTGGTGGCACTGCTGGACAAATCGTTATTGCAAATTTTGACAACGGCGAGAATGACAGTGCACCACTGAAAGCAAGTTCGATGAATTTGGTTAGCGATCGTGATGGTTTCGTCTGGAAGGGTCATGATCAGTTGACTGTACGTGCAAATCTGCTTGATTCCGATGCGGAGCCCGTAGGCGATGTTGGTGTTGAAATAACGGGTGTGTTACAAGTTCTTCCACCTGCAAGCATAACCTGTTTGGCTCTGGAAGCGAATTGGGGCTTAGTAGCTGGTGGCACTGCACATGGTCTTGTTTTATTTGATTTCAACACTTTCCTACCAGTTTTTCATCGATGCACTCTTAATCCAAATGGTATGTAGAAAAGTTTAATATGTCAGAGAGCAAAAAGATGCTAATTAACATTCAAATAGATTTAACGGGTGCTGGTGAGCAATTATCACGCCGTAAGTCATTTAAGAAGTCTTTGCGTGAATCATTTCGTAAACTTCGTAAAGGACGCTCCACGCGAAACAATCCAACACAGGTGGCAACAACAGTGAGTAAAAATAAAAATTAATATTGCAATATCATCAAAGAATATAATAACAAAGCAAAGCATATTCATTTCTGTTCAGTTGGAATCGCGTCCGATTGAACGGCAAGTGGAAGCTCGTTCAACCGACGATGGCATGGGCTCTATGGTGCGCTGTTTGCAATTCGCAAAGACATTTATAACCAACGGTAAGAACATAATAATGATTACTATTTACTTGTATTTACTTGTATTTATTTTTTTTTTTTTTGTTACTTTTCAGTGAATATAACTTCGCCCACCCTATGGTCAGCTACAAACTCGAGCACAGTATCAGTTTTTCTTTTGCATTTACCAGCTCCTCTAACTGCTGCTACTAATATACCACCAGTCAGCGGTAATGCCGCCGCAACTACTGCGGCCACACAACCACGACGAGTTTCAGCACAACTGGCAAAAGAAATACAACTAAAACATCGTGCACCTGTCGTTGGTATTGCTATTTTCGATCAACATGGCTATCCGGTGGATCAGCAAAGTAATAGTAGTGCTGTTTCACCACCACATCGTTTGTTGATCGCATCCGAAGAACAATTTAAAGTTTTCTCACTGCCACAATTGAAACCAATCAATAAATATAAGTTAACAGCAAACGAAGGAGCACGTGTACGACGTATACACTTTGCATCATTTTCATGCCGCTTACCGTCTGATTTACTGGCGCACGGCGTGGGTGGTAGTCCGTCCAAATCGATTTCAACACGTTCACAAGAGAATGCCCAAGATGTAGCTAATACTAGCGCCAATAACACAAGTGGAAGTGTTGGAGCAGATGCACGTTTGTATCATGAAATGGCATTACTTTGTCTAACCAATATGGGCGATATAGTGGTACTTTCTGTACCTGAATTAAAACGCCAATTGAATGCTGCAGCTGTCAGGCGCGAAGATATTAAGTAAGTTGCGAAGAAATTCATAATTTTAAGCTTTTCCTATAATGTTTTTTTTTTGTTTTTTTTTTTTGGTTTTTTTTTTCAGTGGCATTTCGTCGCTATGCTTTACAAATGGTGGCGAAGCATTATATATGCTCTCTTCTTCTGAATTGCAACGCATCTCTTTATCCACTACAAAAGCCGTAACACCACAAGGTGGCATCGAAGTGGAAGAATTGGTTAATGAAGAGCAAGACAATCCGGTTGACGATGCGAATAGTGTTACCGAAGAGAATCATGAACACATTGACGCCACAAGTTCAACTTCAACGCATTCGAACGACCCGAGCCGGAAAGATCGCACAAAACCGCTCGAAGTCGATATCGATCAGCTAAAGGGTGGTGTAACACTAACGAATGGCGTTAATTCGACAACTGAGAGTAATTCTCCTAATCGTGCCAACGAAACGATCACCAGTTCAGTAGGTGACATTACTGTTGATTCTGTGCGAGATCATCTAAACGCCACTACAACAACATTATGCACTACCACAACTGAAGAAACTGTCGGTGAGTATAATTATGCTGGCTAGTACACTTAAATTTACATATATTCAGCAGGTGATGGTTACTTTGAAAGCGTAAAATTTGTCTCTATAAAGTGTATATACTTATTATGTAGTTTGAGTTTTTGCTTTCAGCCCTACAAGAAATACAAATGTACCGTCTTAAATATGAATATAAATTATCAATTAAGCCTTTGTTCGTTTGTTATTTGTTTGTTTGTCATGTGTGTTGCAGCTAAACAACAGTTGCCATAAACATTTGAGTAATATATCAATGTTTGTCGAACTTAGTCCGTTTGTGTGTTCATTATCCAAATTATACAGTGATTCTAATATTCGTTTGATTTGTTTTTTAGGCAACCACAAAAACTCTCTTTAATAGTTATGAAACCACATTTTTAAAGTCACCACTACATATTTTTAATTAAAAAATGACGAACGTAAGGGAATGGAAGTTTTATAAAAAAAAAAATGAACAGGTGAAAAAAGTTTGTGAGCTTTTGCGGAGAACGATATATGCAAAAAATAAAATGAACAAATCAAATTAAATACAATAAAAAATTTGAATTCTAAATACATATATATTTTTTACACAATTATTCTCTATTCTATTCAGGACGACTCTCTGTATTAAGCACGCAAACTAATCAAACTTTGACCAGTGCAAATATGAAGGATGTCACCGATTTCAACATACCGAATCTTATGGATTTGGCTCCTTTAAGGTAACTATTGCATTTTTTTACATAATAATTTCTTTATTTTATATTATATGCGGCTGAAGAGTGTACTAGAAACAAGAATTTTAAAATAGATAAGATTTTCGCAAAAATGGGCCTACTGATGTTTTTGTTCACTAACCTCGCTTAGGAGCAGACGAGAAGGTCCAGGAAACGAGCTGTTTCCACGAGTTCGAACTAGAACAATAGGAGAAAAAGGGCAATTTGATGAGTTGTCCTTAGCGGGCCTGCAAAGAGGTGGTTAATGTGGTGCGGGGACTCATTACATACATGATATACGTTGGATATGACGGGGTCATGTCTGGATAGGTAGAAGTTTAGTCGACTATAATATTCAGATCATAGTTGTGCCAGTTCGAGCTCTTCGTCTGTAATGTATTGTAGCTTGACGCCGTCCTGTCCAGCGGTTCTTGCAAGTGGTGCTGGATGAAGTCGTTAAGGACTCTTTTCCCGATGGCACTTGCAGTCGCATGCGGAGTGAAGGTGTGCAGGCTGTCGAGTATGATGCCCAGTAATTTCAGGTTGTTAATAGTGGGAATTTTTACGCCATCGACTTTCACATAGAGGGTAGCCGAGAATTTCGCAGGTTATAACTGTAATTGTCTCTCTGTGAAGAAGTGGGAAAGTCGTCGAGATAGCAATTCCCTTTTTAACATAAACCACTAACGGACGAACGGAATTTGCGAAGTCATGAAAAGAAAGAGTGTGTTAAGCGTCGAAATTTAAAACTACTCAGCTAGAGACAAACAAATCATCGGCATATGAGATCTGTGAAACCCCTTCTGTTTTAGGGAGGAAGCTTCAATATATAGAAGTTAATTAAACAATAATGGGTAGAGGTTACTACCCTACGGAACCTCTTGTTTAATAACTCTGAGCCCGATAGGAGGCTATTTTAAATAAATCTTTGTTTCACACTTTCTAGAATCGCTTCGGGAAAATAAATCTAAATATCTAAATTTTCTAATTTCAGCAATACAACCGAAACTAATAGCAGCTCTGTGGTTATCAAATCTATTATTACTAGTATTTCACATGAAAAGACTAATGGAGAAACGGAAACAGTTACAACAAAAACCACACAACGAGAAGAAAGTCAATTTTAAAACCAAACTGATAAAATTTACTGCATAGAAGGAATGTCCACTCAAAAAATCAGCATGGCGAATGCATTCAAAATAATTTTTCACTGGAAAATTATTAAATCGCCTTTGTTTTTGCAATATCATTTTTTTTTTTTAATTTTAGCAATGCTTATCTTTTAACTTTTATAAGGAATTTCCGCAAATATCCGAATAACTGAACTATTCTATTTATGCATCTGTCATTTTAGCTTGTAAGTTTTTTTTTAATATAATTTTAAAGGTTTTCCAAAATCTTACCATTCACTTTTAACAGTTTCACCCCACCCCAGAAATTCGATTCTTACAAAAATGTTTACAATGAACACGAATATTAACTAACAATAACAAGAGAGAAAAAACAAAAGTACAATTAAAAGATTGCCTTACAATTAATAGTTATTAAAGAATTGATGATTTGAGGATAATCATTTCATATGCCTCATTTCTGCAAATAATGCCCCTAATCGAATTTTGATTTGAAGCTAAAGAAATTTGATTTTTTTTACAACAAATCGAAAACGCTTCTCTTCGTCTAGCTATCAATAAATATTTTCCTAACTAATTCTAACTATAAAGTATTATTAAAGTTATGTATAAAAAGTACATTTGAGCATCAGCAGGTATTCTATTAATAAATGTGACTTCTTCCATTACATGTTATCATTAAAATGAAAAGATAAAGGTAAAAACATACACACACACAATCAGATCAAGAGAAAATGAATTACTGTTTTATACCGTTGTTTGTTACTATTATTACAAAAAGAATATTTAACATTAAATCTGTTGGCATTTAAGTGACATGCATACATACATACTCGCACTATTGAATATGTAAGTGTGTAAATGTACTATAACTATTTAAATATACACGTTTCATTTATAATAATATATATACAAACATAAATGCATATAGTACATACGTATTTAAAGAGTTTTTAAACTCGCACTTTTTTATATTTTACATGTGGAGTATTTTTGGACTATTTGTATAGAAAATTTACAAATGTATAAAATATTCGATTAAATAATTCATACTAATGTTATCGAAAATCGTTAAATTACAGAAATTTTTTTCAATAAAAATGTAGACTTGATGCTTATATTTCTTTATACAAAGCATTATATTTGTGATTTTTTTTGGTCTAATTTGAAGACAGAAAAGGAGTTGACCAGGATTTTATCCGGCCAAAGGGTGTCACCCTTTCGGCGACCTAGTCGAATTCTAAAGAAAAAAGAGTTGGGACATGTTTTTGACGGGAAGACGTACAAGGAAGCTGCTAACATCGTGCAGTTACACATTGCAGGTTGAGCAATATCGAGTTCCTAAGTGCACTTCCTTTGCACGGTTAACTAATAGTTACTGAGAGCACACTAGATCTATGCTCGCATTGCAGATCTTTAGTAGTATTTATCTCTATACGTTGTGCAAACCTTGGGTATGTGTTTTTGTTGTTATATCGTCTATCAAACTGCTGAGCAAACCTTGGGTATGTGTTTTTGTTGTTGTATCGTCTATCAAACTCTTCTGAGCAAACGGATACGTGTTGTTGTAGTTTTTTTAGCTATCAAACCTTGGTGAGAATCAGTTAAAAATTAGTCCACTTGATTGGGTAATCCATCGGCAGGTCCAGGAAACGGACTCTTTGGTCGGTTTCATACCCGAAGTGGAAGAGGCTTGAGGAAGATGTTGATTAACTCTCTGTGAATAGCCTGAGGGATCTTATATATTTAAAACATCGAGTCTTTCTGCTCTATAATAATACCATTTAATTAAGAATGTATCGAATGGGACTCTCAGACTATTGACCGTTGGATCGTACGCTTAAGTTAAGCGCTCTACAAGTATAATGGAAGTAGGATTTTTTCTCTTTCGAAATCAGCTGCTTAGTATGATTGTGTATTATTGACATTTGATAATTTGGTGAATTGAAAACAAAATTAAATTAAAATTATGGTAACTGTGATACTGCATTTATTCGCTGCTGAAGCTATTAATGAAGAATGGCAATGAATTATTCTTTAACGTTAATAAATTCTACCCTAGGGAAATTATTTATGTCACGTCATTCCACCGACTCTTTTAACCCTTCGGGAGGCGACAATTTACGCTCTGCATTTGGACCACCTTCTATCGTACAGATTTCGTTTGATCAACCTAGACCTAAAAGTCAAATACAAAAAGGTTTTACCTTCTTTCATTCCACAAAATTTTTTACAGGTGGCTCTGCGGTATTTAATTCGTTATTCGCCTTTTCAATAAATTCTCGAGATATAGCAGCTTGAGAGTCCATCAGCTCTGTTAGCAACCGCAACTACACTTTACTACCTGTTTTTGACTTAAAGAAACCATTAATGCGATTATTTGTGTTCTACTTATAACAATTTTTTTTTAACTTTTATGTGAAACGACTCTAGCGGAATATTTAAATAATCGGATTTTTTTTGCATTGGTGATGCCAACTTTTTCGAAAAGAGAAAAAATCCACAAAATTTTTAGCTTAAAGCATTTCTAACTTGACCTTAAGTAAGTTACGGAATTTCGGCATGAGTACAACTCTATAATTTTTATGCTACTTTACAACACTAACATTTAATTTCACAAGATACGAAGTGAATCGGGAAAAATTTCACAAAACGTAATAACATTTTTGTATAAAACATTAAAAGTTGTGATTAAATTCCATTCTTTAGGTTTAGTTGTAGTGTAAGTAATTATTAACATTAATCATGATGGGTTCACAAAATGCTTGGGGAAACTCCGCCTGTAAACCAATGGAACCAGTGAGCTTCGCTGAAATAATGTCAGAAGAATATGCACATCGTGTCCACAACCAGGAACAGAAACGTTTCGAAGAACTTTTATCGAAACAAGCGAAAAGTGAATCTACAGATGCGGCACTAGCTTCAACCTTGAATAATCAAATGGGTGATATTAAACTTTATTCTACAGTTGTAAATGGACCGTCATCATCCTCTCGCAAGGAGAATATACAGGCAAAAGATGGGGAGTGGGAAGATTATTCTTCCTTATTGGGAACTCTAGATGAAGAAGGCACTGCCGAATGTGATTCTGATGCAATTATCGCACAAATGCTTCAGTCACAATTCGATCACGAACATAATGAAGAGTTACGCCGCATTGAAAATAAGCGCAACAAAGATTGCAAAGTAACGGTAACATTAGACAAGTATCGACGCAACGGTGATTTGGAATTTATATACGACTCAGATAATTCTCTTGATCCTGATGAAGAAGATAATCAACATAAACGTGACTGGGATCGTTTTGAAACAAATGAGAAACTTCTAGACACAATTCCGAAATGTGGATTTAAGATGGATAAAGAGGGAGAAATGATAACCAAACATGATCCGCAATTATGTGGAGTGCGCAATGCATGTCGAGTAATGTCATTTCCGCCAGATTTTCCCACAGGTGATGGTGCCGGTTTCGACATGAAGCTTTCAAATAAAGTAAGCAAATAAAGGTTTTTAAAGATGTCTATTACACTTATTTATAAGTTTATACATTTTTTAGGTTTTTAATCAACTGAAAACATACTCGCAGAGAGGTACTAAGAAAAATAAAATGCATGACCGAAAAGCTAATGTGGCCACAGCGGAAATGGGTCTTGATAAACCTACACGTCTTCTTCTTTATAAACTTTTGAGTAATCAAATATTAGGGGACATCAACGGTATTATATCGACTGGCAAAGAGGCCGTAATAATACACGCCACTTCTAATGCTGATTTTGCAAAGGATACAAACAATTATAATAAAGTAATCTGCTCCCCACATTCACTGCCATTAGAATGTGCTATAAAAATTTTCAAAACCACATTAAACGAGTTCAAACAACGTGATAGATATATTAAGGATGATTACCGATTTAAAGATCGCTTTAGCAAACAAAATAATCGCGTTATTATAAATATGTGGGCAGAAAAGGAAATGCATAATATAGTGCGTATGCAAAGCGTTGGAATCAATTGTCCAGAGGTTGTGGCGTTAAAAAAACATATTTTGGTTATGTCCTTTGTTGGTAAAGATAATATAGCTGCTCCTAAATTGAAAAACGCACGCTTAAACGAACTGGAACTTTCTTCAGCATATGAAGAAATTGTAACTTCAATGTATAAACTGTACAACGAAGCAAAACTAGTACACGCTGATTTGAGTGAATACAATATTCTGTGGTATGATGGCAAATGTTGGTTCATCGATGTAGCGCAGTCAGTGGAGCCTGAACATCCTAGTGCATTAGAGTTTCTAATGCGTGATTGCGGCAATATTATCACTGTAAGTTTTTCAACTGCATACATATGTATATATGGAGATGACATTCAATAATTTTAAATTTTTTTTACCATAGTTCTTTGAAAAGCGTGGTTTACCAAATATTTATACAAAAGAACAACTTTTTGAGCATATAACATCTTTGAATGCCGAAACGCATAATGTTGCCATGCTCGAACGTATTCATACGCGTGGAGCGTCAATAGCTGCCGCGACAGCTCCCAGCCAAGAAGAATGTCCCGATGAATTGAAACCCCTAACCTATCCCTTCGATTTAGCCTGGGAAAAAGTTCAGAGTGAACGTAAACAGCAGAAAATAAAAGAATTGAAGACGAATTCATCTGCACCAATTATTGATCGAGCAGCCTCGGCAATGAGTGTTTTAAAGATTAGCACTCCAACTACTGAAACAGAAAATAAGTTTTAAGAAAAAAATACGTTGATCACTTGACGTAAAGATTTATGAATATAAACTATTGGGACTAATTCAATCTTGGTAAATTGTAATCGAAAGTAACCTTTTCCGTGCCTAAATACTGCCTAAAGGTTCGATATAAAAAATTACTTGAAATAAAGAAAAGATTTAGTTCAGTTTTCCAAAAAAAATTGTAATTGTTTATATCATATGTTTTTTGTCACTTTAGTGTGTGCTCTTATTTGTCATTCATTCGGTTTGTGTGCTTTATATAAAAAAAGAAAAATTAATTAATTAACTCTCTTGGGGGTGGTACGTTCGGAATTCTTCCTGGCGTAAATGTTTCCGCTTTGAAAGCCTCAATATCTTCTGGTGACAGATCCTCCAATTTACTATACACGCTGCTGCTTATCACTGGTGATTGTAATAAACCGGTATTATTTCCGCCCATTGTCTGTGCAAATAGGTTCTGTTGATTAGGCATTTGTTGTGATTGCATATTTTGTTGAAAAAATCCATTAGGTGGTTGCATTGCGGTAGAAGATTGAGAAGACTGTGCAAACATATTTGTAGGCATTTGCTGTTGTTGCTGCTGCTGTTGCTGCACGGTCTGAGCGAAGATGTTTTGGGCAGGAATTGTTGCTGAATTAGAATTTTTAAACACACCGCTTGTATCTACAGAGTTAAGCGCTTGCGCAAACAAATTGTTTGCATTATTACCCGAAGGATTTGTGTTCATATTACTGAACATATTCGCGTTCTGCTGGCCGAAAGCATTTTGCTGTTGTCCAAACACTGAGGTTGTTTGATTTGGTTTATTAACTTGAAATGATGAAAATCCGGAAATTGGTTGCGTCTGCTGTGATTGCATTGTCTGAGCAAAAATATTTCCAGAGTTTGGCTGTTGTTGTTGAATATTTTGACTGAACAAATTAGCACCTGTCGAGGATTGCACTTGACCCTGCTGCGCAAATAATCCACCTCCTGCATTCATTTGTGTCTGTTGTCCCTGTTGACCAAATAATCCAGCATTGGCTGAGAGTTGCGTTTGTTGTTGCTGGTGTACGTTTTGCGGAAATAAGTTACTAGTTTGCCCCGTTTGACTAAATATACCACCAACAACTGTAGGATTGGATTGAGCTTGACCAAACAAACTATTTTGTGTACCTCCACCACCGAACAAAGACGTAGGTTTTTGCGCTTGTTGAGAAAAAATGGAAGTCTGTTGAGTTTGAGAACCGAAACCTCCTCCTCCACCAAATATTCCTGGAGCTGGCGTTGTTGTAGAACCACCAAATACGCTTCCGGAACTATTCGACGCAGCATTATTTCCGAATCCACTACCAAATGTATTATTATTTGGCTTATTAAATATTGATGATGTTGCGTCGTTAATAACATTACCACCCATTCCAAACGGATTATTTACATTATTTTTTGTCAATCCCGTATTTGCGCCGTCAACAGGTGTATCATACAGACGACAAATTACATCTAATATTGCAGGTGACAACTGTAACATTGCTTTCGTTTTGTTATTCGCTTCCATTGCTTCTTTAGTAAATTGTTGTACATATTGATCAACACAATTCTTTTGCTTGGCCTCATAGCACGACCAGCGTATTTCTTCAAATGATTGATCTTCTATAAAACTAGGTACGCTAGGTTTATCCTTAAAGGGTCCAAAACAGGATATTGGCCATTGTTTGCCATTAATTGCAGCTTCTAAATCCGTCTTAACGAGTTGCCTTAATATATAAATAAAATTTAACATATTTCATTCCATTATATTATCTGAACAACTCACTTTATATCCAAATGTTCATTATTGCATTTAGTTCCAAATCTACAGCTGCCTTGAAGGAAAAACCGGCAGAGAACCATTTTCAATTAAACTTCAAGACCACTAATTCCAAAATTTAATCTATTCAATTTGAAAAAATTTATTCACATGAACCAGTAAATATGTTTTGATAACGAATTCAGAGATGAGGAACCATCAACACTAAAGACGATTTTCCAACAGAGCGATTATTAGCTCGATAACATTATATATATAATTGCCGCTTTGTATCCGCTGAATCGAATTTCGGACGAGCTCCTCCTCCAATTTGTGGTTTTGCCTTGATTTTTTTCCAACATATACATTTTTTAATTTGAAAGTTTTGATGCAAAATTAGAGGCTCGTACAATAAATTACAAAATTAGATTTTTATGTTCTAAAACTTTTAAATTTAAAACATATGCATCAATTTCATTCTTTTAATAAATAAATTTTCAATTGTTATCAACAAACGATTATCTTTTTCGATTTCCATACATATGTACATATCATCTTACATACATTTTTCGCTACCTTTTTGGCATATTTGTTTACAAAGCCATCGAAACTTCTAAATGAGTGCAATCTATAAAGATTTCCATCGATGCAAAATAATAGATTGCAAACAGGGCGCTGTTCGCGCAGTGCGTTATAATGGTCAGTGTTAACTTAATAAAAAATATGTACATATATCATTCAATCATTCTATTTTCGCGAATGTTGCAGTCGACGGCTCATATTGCCTCAGCTGTGGATCAGATAAAAAAATAAAATTATGGAATCCTAAAACGGGACTATTACTTAAAACGTACGGTGGACATGCAGATGAGGTTACAGATGCATCGGGCAGCTGTGATAGTTGCTATATTGTTTCTTCAAGTCTTGATAAAAGCATAATATACTGGGATGTCTCCACCGGTGTACCAGTACGTCGTCTGCGAGGTCATGCGGGTGGAGTTCGATGTGTTTCTTTTAATGAGGACTCCTCAATCGCTATTTCTGGCGGTCGCGACAATGCCGTCTTATGTTGGGACATTCGAACACGGCGTTTAGAACCCGTGCAAATTATGAAAGAAGCAAGGGACTGTATTACAGCAGTGCAAAGTAATGAGCATAAAATAATAACGTCTTCTTTGGACGGTTGCATACGCCAATATGATATACGTGTTGGGGAATTAGTGTGTGATAAAATCGGGGAACCTATAACATTTTTCAAACTCACTCGTGATGAACAGTGTATTGTAGCAGCATGCCAAGATAGCACCGTTCGGCTAATCGACTGTGAGAACGGCAGTTTATTGTCCGAATACAAAGGGCACAAAGCAGAAGATTTTCATATTGAATGTGGTATTATGGCGAACGATGCGCATATTGTTTCAGGTACCAGTGAGGGTTGTGCTGTTATGTGGGATCTACTAGATGGAAAAATCCTTCAACGTATTAAAATAAGTAAGTTTTGATTCGTGTTGCTGTACCTTCTCAAAACCAATAAACAACTTTTATCTATTTCTAGGTGAAAATGGAGGCGTGGTTAATTCATTGGACACTCATCCTGTGGGAAATGAATTAGTACTTGCTCGTAGGAGAGATATATATGTATATAATACAGATTTAAATGAAGAAATTGATACAACAACTATATAGAAATAATGCCTCTTACTAAGTAATAAATCTTAAAATATTGTTATTATATTTGCCAATTAGAATATTTGACTTTAGTTCCAGCTTAGAGTAGCTAATTATAAGGAAATTTAAATTTATGCAGAAAAAAGGAATAAATTTAATTAACAAAAGTGTAGTTCCTATCAGGCTCAACTGATCAACAACTGAAAAAGAAATATTTTTTATTTATAACCTTTCATCAATATAGCAATATTTTCCTGGACGTATGACTGAATATCTTGTTGATCTTTTATAGAAGCTTCGACGGCAAGAACTTCGACTTTGAAATTATCAGTTTTGGCAGCGGAAACATCACGTTCCCTGAAAAAAAAAAAAATGTTTAGAAAAAGATGTGTTAATATAAAAACATACTTAGTCTTGCTAATTATGATCTGGTGAAGTTTCTGTTTTTCATCGTCATGTTGCCGTTGGTCGAGTTTACTCTTTTCCTGCCAGCATTCTAAAGCTTTTTGATGACGATTAATTAATTGTGTTAGTTGTTCTATTTCTTTCTCGTAACAAGCAATCTTTTCTTTAGCATTATCCAATTTTTTAGCCGCTTCATTAAAACTATCAACAAAATCTGTTGATAAGATTTCCTTGGCACATTCGACAACTTTTGAAATTTCCTGCAGTCTGTTGTTATCCACAATGTGTGTTTTCAAATTGCTTTCAGCATTTCGGATTTGTTGGTCGCATTCTGAAATATTTTCCTGAAGCTTGCTTAATTGGCTATTAATAGAAAAAGTATTTAGTTAAGCTGTTTAATTGATTGTATTATAGGCGACTATTACATTTGTAATTGTTTTCCTTCTTCTTCGGGCACAATAAGATGTTTTAGATTACGTATTTGTCCCTTGAGTTCCTCTGTTTTCGTCCTCAAATCTTTTATAGCATCGGACATCTGTTGTGTCTGACTATTCCGTTGTTTCAATTCAGAATTTACTGTTTTTAACTTATTTTTATATTGCGGAATTTCTTTGGAAAGAAAAACTATCTCTTCTTGCATCTAAAAATTAAATTGTAGTCAATGTAACTAATGATAAAATGATTTTGTACCAAAAATACAAGTCAGAATTAATAACTTACCTTTTCTGCTTTACTACGCCTCTTTTCATTTTCCTCAATTGTATACTTGATTTCATCAATCAATTCTTGACGCTCTTTCAGTTTATCTGTTGCCATTTTGAAGACATTTGTTTTAAACATATTCATATAGTACAAGTAATTTAGCAGAATACCCAACATATGCGATGTCTTCTTAGGAGCTTTACATAAAAATAATAATTTTATAAGCCAATAATAAGATAAAAATTTTTTAGTTAAAACTTACTTGGCCTCAATAGATCGTAATATGTGAACATGAATGATTTGTCACTAATTTTATATATGTGATCAATGTGTCGAACTAGTTTAATTAAGAATTGTCGTCTCTCACGAGTACCATCTTCTGAGCAAGGTACTTCCACTCTGTATCCAAACATTCTTAAGTAGCTCATAAGGATTTTGGTGAGCCAGGCTTCCGAAGGGTTAGCCAAATCGGATTCAACCATTTTGCATTCGGCACAAAGTTCATTCCAGCTATCTAGATACTCCTTTGAAAGCATTTTTAATAAATTATCCTCAATGTTTTTAATAAATACACATATATTGAATATTTATTGTTTCATTCGAATTCGCGGCAAAAAGAAACGGAAAATTGTTTAACAAAAAAATTAACTTAGAGGAACGGAAGCTTTGAAACACAGAGAAACAATAGTTTTGGGAATATCGAAACACTACTAACCAAAGGTTCTCACTTTCTGAAAAACATAAGCAAAACTTAATGCGGTTATGCAAACATAAAATTTTGCCCTTGATTTAAGAAGAATAAACTGGCTGGACATCAAATATTTGTTCTTTAATTCTATTGGGAATAACTACCTTTGGAAGAACCCAAGAAATAAACCATCATTCTCTGCCAATTATTTCATATTATTGTATATATGAAATTGAGCGTTTATTGTGAAGTAAATTTTTACAAATAGTTCTATTACCGAGTTTTTGAAAATCTGAAAAAATAATGTTGAAAGTCATGAACCATGGAAATCAAGGTTAAATTTTGTGTAACTAAATTTAGAAAGATAAAACATTATCGACTGGATTTAGTTTCTAGTAGCACTATATAACACATATAAGCGAAAAAAACTAATTTCGGCATAGATTACTTTTCATCTCTTTTTTTGTAGGATTTCAACAATTGTTATTGCGATTCATTCCTCCCGAATTAAAATGAAAGTTACTTGCAAACCTCGACATTTTTCATTCATTTGTCTTTATGAGTTTCTTTAAATAAATTCACTTCAGTACATTTCGGTGTTCCACTAAAATTAGAGTTTATTTGCTGATAGTTTATTTTAAATCTAATGTATAGACAATTGGTACAATTTACGTTTCCATCGCTTGCTTTTGTAAATGTGCCTTTAGTTGTTGATTGAAATCGTCCTCAACATTATCATCATCCCAATTATCTTCCCACACATTCACCTCATCTTGGTCATCATCGGCAATATTGAAATCTAGAAATATTCCATAAAATCATATGAAACTATAAACCCATATGTCAAGAATCTAACCTTCAGCCGGGAACTCCTCAAATTCATCATCTTCTTCTAAAAGACCTAAATCTCCTTTAGCATTCTTATCTTTCTCCTTGTCTGTCGACATTTTACAAAGTTTTTCTGAACGTAAACTTTAGTGGACAAAATGTTAAGAAAACTACTAAATTATGGATTCGACGCGTTATTTGATGAAAAACAATGCCGAGTCATCTGTCAAGTTTCCAACGAGTAGATGATGGTAACGAATAACATAGTTGTGATTACTTGGCAATGCGACAATACATCGAAAAATCCTGGTTACTTGAATATTTCTTATATGATGTTCACAAATCAGCAAACATTCATATCTTATATATTGTAGTTAACATGCGAGATATGCTCGTAACCCTATTCATTATTGTTTCATAAAAGATAATAATAACTATTACTTTACAATTATTTTCAGGCATTGCTATTACAGTCGATCGCTCGCTATAAGTTACATATGTATATGGGTACAGAAGATTATTATGCAGTACTTGTGTATATAATTGGTGCTTTAAAAGCACGGAAGAGATTTTCGGCCGAGATTATCTTCGTATTTGTTGGGTGCCATTTGATGATTTTTTCCAATTGAATCTATATTTTATACTAAGCTATCTTTATGTATAAAAAAAATACATTGCTCTCTTAATATATTGATAAGTAATAAATAAAGTTTACGACATTATTTGAGTACATAATTATTAAATTTTATTTTCGAAAAAAAATATTGCTAACTCTTCTTCTCTATAAAAATTTATTAATATTATTTCCAAATAAAAAGTTATAATAAACCATTTTTTCAGACATGAGCAGATGTCAAAGAATGTAGAATTCTACGTTCTACGTTCTACGTAAAATACTATGTATTTTGACATCGCTATCACTCGTTATGCTTTAATATTAAGTCGTCATTTCATATTTTGTAAACAATTCGTAAGAGGCTAGATAGAAAAATCGAAATAGTAGAGGTAAAGAAAGTCAAAATTATTGTGAAACACCAATTGCAGGTGGCTGTTACTATCAATATATGTATTACAAATATTATAAAATTGTTAATAAACTATTTGTAAACTTGCGATGTAAAAACCATTATATTTGTGTATGAATGTTTCGACTTGAAACTACTCATATGAGTGCGACGTAATAAGATATTCCATATGGTGGAATGTCAAAGCGGAATTTCGCCACTTTTGCAATGTGAAAAAATTGTGTACATACAAATATATTAATACTAGATGTTCCTGAGCAATGGAGTAATGGAATGACTTTTTACATATGCTCCAAAGAAATGTAACATATGGATAAGAATAAAAAACAAAGATGCGAAAGGTATTTGCCAAATATACGAATTCCACGTTTTAATACAAGAGTTTCCTGAAATGTACGTACAAAGCAAAAGTTATAAAAGAGACGTCATTAAAAACCTTAACAGCAAAGAAATAACGAGTGAAGCAGAGAATACAGCGAAAGAGGTGAAGCTCTAAATAGAGCGACGGGAAAAGTTGTTTGTCAACTTGTAGCGTCCCTAGATTTCGTCGAAGGAGTAAGCCTAGCCAGATTTGCTGCAGCGGGAAAATTATTTTAATTTATAAATTAATTAAAAAGGGTATACAGCCACAGAATGTCAACTGTTACACGTAGTGCTAGTGCTAGCCCATCCGTTGGCCATTTGAGCAACCCATATCATTCAGATCGACAAAGTCATCTACATTCAACAGTGGATCCAAGTTATTTTCCACTCAAGTCAATAGCAGATGTTGTGAATTTTTTTCGCCGTTCTCTTGAAGCTGGCTCTTCAGTATACGGCAGTGAACCGGATTTAACACTACTTTCTATTGTAGCAGGATATGTTGAGCTTTCTTTAACTACTGGTGATGCGGCGCTCGCAGCTGAACATGCATTGTCAAATGCAACCACAAACTCGACAATATGTTCCCCTCCACTTCTTGTTGCTGGTGTTGGAAGCGTTTTATCGGCAGGTATTTTTTCAAATTGGAGTTAATTTTATTTTTTTTTTATTTAAAATAACAAATAAATCTTATTTTATCTAGCGCAAAACTATAGCATTATAAAAAGCAATAGTGTGCCTTTTCCTGTTGTAACATACGAACTTGTTTCGGGCTTATACAAAAAGTTTCAAAGTATACTCTCCGTTGTCGAAAAACCCAAATCAGGTCAAAATCGCCAAGCAACAAGAGAAATAATCAAAAAAGTTTCCGATGTAATATGGCACTCTTTAATAAGAAGTAGTTATAAAGATCGAGCACATTTGCAAAACCTCTATAGTTATTTATCCGGCAATAAGTTGGATTGTTTTGGAGTTGCGCTCGCCGTTGTAGCAGGCTGCCAAATGTTAGGTTATCGCGACGTACATTTGGCTATATCCGAGGATCACGCATGGGTTGTGTTCGGTATTAAACAAGTAGAATGTATTGAGGTGACGTGGCATGGAAAAGGTAGTGAAGATAAACGCGGCCAGGATATAACGGCTGGTATAGAATCTGGGTCTTGGTTATATTTGAGTGGTTTGGCAGTAGTATGTGACAGAGCTATGGAAGTAGCCGCTATTGTGTCAGCTATAAATATATCGATGACAACTAATAGTGATTGCGTGGAGGTGGCAGATATGCAACAAAAACTTCTTTGGCTACTTTATGATATGGATCATTTGAAGAAATATCCGATGGCATTAGGTAAATTACTAAAAAATTCTATAATTTATGAGTAAATATAACTTATATACATATATAGTATTAAATCAGTCCCTTAGTATTAATTTTATTTCCTCCTTTATTTCTCTGTGGTAAGCGTCGTCTGATATGTGTAGCATTCTCCTTATGTAGCCCAATTGCTGTATTTATTATCATCGTTTTTGGATGTTTGTAATTAGAGTTTATTATACGTCCTAATGAATTTGGTTACTATACCACCTTAATTTTAATTGGTTTTCTTGTCTTATTATGACATAATCATAATTAATTCAAAATAAAAGAAAGGTCGCTGAAACCATATATTTTTTTATTTTAGCTTAGTAAATTAATTTTTCTTTTCTTTTCAATTTAGGAACACTTGGCGAATTAGAAGAAATTAGTCCGACTCCCAAGCGCATTACTTGTGAACAACTATATAAGGAGGCTATACAGTCGGCGCGAAATTTTTACCGCAATCATCACGTGTATCCTTACACTTATCAGGTATATACATATATGGGACCAGATAATTTTTAATTGCTTACAGCTATTACAAGTACTTCTTCTTGAATATCATCATTTTAGGGTAACTTTTACAATCGCCTATTGAAATACCGTGAAGCCTTTGCAGCTTGGGCTAATGCGGCTGATGTAATACGTCTATATACGTATAGCTGTCGAGACGATGAGGAAATATATAAAGAGCTTCTAGATATTGCCAACGAAATGATACCACATGTTATGAAAACTGAGAGTTCCGGTCATTCAGCAAGAAGTATTTTACGTGACTCGGAGGTATTTGCAAATCTGTTACGATTTTACGATGGAATATGCCAATGGGAAGAGGATAGTTTGACACCAATATTACATATTGGTTGGGCTAAACCATTAGTCAATAATATAACAAAATTTGATTATGATATAAGATCGCAAGTAGTGATAAAAGTTCCTGAAGACGATGAAATGACACAAACAAAAAAATCACCCGTCACACCAATGGATTTAGCGACTTCTTCGTTAAGAGAAGAGTCCACAGCAAATGAGAAAGTTGAAAAGAAACCTGTTATTATTGATATAAAGAAAGATCTGTCAGACAGTGGCAATGTGAATAACAATAATCATAAAAAGGAAGAGGTGAGTAAAACCAACTCATTTAATACATATGTAATTTACGAATAAATTCTGATGTATATTTCAGAAGACTTCGTCAGATGCGAAAAAATCGGATCTTTCAGCTACATTAGCAGATTTAACCGCTGCGTGTGGTGAGAAGATTTTAAATCCAGAATTTTTATTGCAGGGTGGTGGAGAGCCTTTCGCTGAACAGAAAAAACATTTAGAACAACGGCAAGAGAGCAATCGTGATAACGACTCAACAAATGGATTAAAAAATGTCCCAAATAAAGATACTGATTCAAAGAAACAGTTGGAGTTGATGGTACAACAAAACGAGAATGGAAGTATTAAACACTCTATATCAAATATACAATTAACCACGGCAACGCAACTACCTGTAGAAGAGGAACCTTTTGAGTTTATGATTAAACAGCCCGTTATTACGCTTTACAGTCAGAAAATGAAGGGTCTGAAAGATCTTCTATTGGCGGAAAAGCTGAATACACACGCTATTTCACTACAAGTAACTGCACAATCGGTGGCCAGCAGAAAGATTCGAGGAATAGATAAGCTTGGTAATCATACAACAACATCCACCTATGCAACTGCTCATGTACCGAGCAATAGTTTACAATCAGCTCATACAAATCATAATGCGAATGTTGGCGATAGTAATTCTACTTCTAACGATAATGGATGTATTACTTCTTCGATAGCTGCTTCACGACCGAAACGTTTTCGCCGGGAATAAACACGACGACTGAGGTAAGTGAACTACTTATATAATAATTATATATGTAGGTACTACATACAAATACTAAACGCTACAATGAAGCTCCTGCAATACAAGTTTAAATGCTGGCTATGATGAAGGTCTTAATCTAATTTTACTGTCTATATATATATATATATATATACATATTATTTTATTTTATTTATATATGTATTTTATATTTACAATTTATTTTTGTTTAATTGTTATTGAGGCAACCCTAAACGAAAAAAAAAATTAAAAAAAACTATGGAGGAAATCGTACTTTTGCAAAAACTTTTTATCGCATTTAAATGTGTTGTGAAAAACAAGCAAACACTTGACAAACGTCCAGTTAGGAATTAAAATAAGGGATGTATTTCGCGACGAGTGAGAACTAAAAATGAAAGCACATTCAGTCGTCAATATTGAAAAGATGGTTGTGTTGTTTATTTGATCGATTATTTAATTGCTTTATTTTACTGAAAAATTAATAATATATTTAATTATAAAAGACGAAATTAAAATCTTTACAATAGCTCACATTTCGTCCTTACTCGCCTTCTTTTCAAACGCAAACGACGGCAGGTACAAATTTCTTTAGACAATTATAACATTCAGACAATTTATTTTATCGATAACAATAACCCTACGTATCGACGTTAAAACTATTAATTGGCCTCCAAACTGGTTTGCCAAAATCTTCTTGTGTGGTTTAATTTGAATACGGTACATCCCTGCTGTGTATAACCAGGCACTCTGCCCTTCAGCGCTTGTAGCATTCCGCTACTTTGGTCTCTAGCGAGCACTATTCAGGTTGATATCCCTGCAAGAAGGCTTCCGATCATTTGAGCCAAAATTAGTCAGGAATGCATGACGACATATGCCGTCAGCTCGTAGAACGATTTTCCTATCACTTTCTTAAGGCCGAAATGACAAACGTGATGTTTACATTTGTATACGTGTACGTCATTCTCTCTTCGTTTCCTCGTTCATTTTTGTCATTCTTGTCGGACAAACCGAACATAGACGCGTGACAGCATTGATGCCGAAGGAAATAAGCTTTGGCAAAAATATTCCCTACATATATTCATACATACAAACATTATTAAGATTCAGTCTTTATTTCAATATTTTTACATATATCAGGTACATGGTTTATATATACAAAGAAATAACAAGTATGTATTTTTCAGCGTCAATTTTTTCGCAATTCATTTTGAAATGCTTTTGATTTAAAGTTAAACACTGATATTGGCTTTGCGTTTTTGTATATTTTGTAGGTCTAAGACCACTTCTGATGAAAGGTCCAGGATAGCCAAATAACACAACCGTTTAGTTCAATTGTATAAAACAGAATGGTTTCTCTTCTTTATTTTTAAAATTGCGTAATTGTAACGTACATGGAGTCTTAATCGCCAGTTATCGATAAATATCTTATAAGCTAGAGTTGCCACCTAGTTTCTAATTTACACATAATAAAGTACTAAGACTAAGACTTAAAACTAAACCTAAGGTGGTATATGCATACGTACTATATACATACTGCCTCTTACAATATATACATACATACAAACATTATTATGATTCAGCCTTTTTTTCAATATTTTTACATAGATCAGGTACATTGTTTATACATACAAGGAAATAATAATATAGCAATAAATTCATTTTCAAAAATCTGCAAAATTTTGTTAGCAAACCCACATATGCAAAAGTCTATAATAGTGTCATGCGTTGGTGACGCAGCTCCTAAGCCCCACGAACGCCTCCGTAATTATCACAACTCCTTTGAAGTATAAAGATGCCTAAGTACAATAAAAAAAATGAATATTCGAATCAGAATGTCATTAATGTCTAAATGCAGTTGCACCTCAAAGCAAAGTTTTGTCGAATATTTTTAAATCTGCTACTGCGGCTAGATGAGAAGCGTCCATTCCAGTCAAACTGCTCTATTAGTTTATCTTTTCGTACGATAATAAACAAATGTAAAAAGCAATGAAAAATGGAGTAATTAATTAATCCAAAATATATTATTACCATAGCTTGTATATTTTTCACTTCCATCTAATGCGGAGAAAACCATAAAAAATGGCGTTCTACTCGAAAATAAGAACAAAGAAAATCGGATAATCCGTTCAACCGCATTCTTCTTCAATTTGTATGTTTTCATATGTGTTAGTGCTGCCCGAAATCGTGTGAGTGTATTGGAGAACCCATCAGTCCGTTCTTACAGGGTAGACATAGACTAGCTCATTGCAGAAAAATGTGTATTTCCAACACAATGTTGACATGATCCATTGGATATAAAATACAATGTTGTAACGAATTATAAACAAAAAAATTAATCTCTTTTCAGTAATTGTTTAAAAAATTCAAACAAACAGAAAATAAACAGTTTGTTATGACTTTTTTGACCTGCTAGAATGAAAACCTCATATTTGAAAATTTTCTGCATAATTGTCCAGTATGGATTTGTTAGGATTTTCAAACAATAATGGAGGAAGCCCATCAACGTATATAGCTGGCTCTTCGTCTTAATTCACTTTCACTTGGACTATAACAATACGAGCACTGACTACTACTTAATGATTCTGTGTCACTACTACTTGAACAATCACTTATTTATTTCTTTATTTCAAAACATTTAAATTTTATAAGAAAAATTGTCTGTATTTATATTAAAAATTTGTTTATATGTTAAATGTGCACGCGGTAAAACCCATAGCACATTGCCGACGACGAAAACGACGACAACGCCGGCAGCGATCTGGACAGCGCAGCATTTTTCCAAACGTGGCTTAAGCTCAAACATGACCTGTTGACGATAGCTTGCCGAACATGGCACTGCACACGAAATCTAGTGCAGACTCAAATTGCATCTCAATTGGACCTATAACGCGTCTAAGTTGCAAACAAATGTTCTATTAAATTTTGCTCCGGCTCTTCTAAATCTGCAATTTCCTCCGCAATTGCATTAAGCCTCTCATACAACCACATTAATGCGCTGCAAACGCTCACACAGCATATGTACTTTTGCCAGATTTGCCACAGCACTATCCAACCACTGCAAACGGCCTGAAAGCCGTTCCATTAATTCGTCCACTGCACGAAAGGCTCTGCTTTCTAGAAAGCCGATAAGCAAAGTACAGCAAATGTACAAACAGCTCACGATTAAAGTCCACGTGCTCGTCGGCTTCGCTGGCTTAATCCACACCTCTCCCTACTGCTCCTGTTGCTCGACTATGCCGAACAGACACAAGAAGTACTCTATTATCCACACCAATTCTTTGTTCATTGCGATTATTGTACTCTTGGAATGCCAACCAGTTTAATTTCACTTTATTCTCCTGGTACAAAGACAACCCACTCACAATCACTATTTAAAAATAAAAATAAAACACTAGCGTGTCTTCTTTATTGATATTAATTTACCAGTTTTCTATATTCCATATATCTCTGAGAAGAGCAGTGATTGGTCTGAAAAAAAAAATGTTTCATATGATTTGAAAAAAAAAAAAATTGATGAAACTTGACTTATTACGAGAAATTTTTTAGTAAGGCTTTATTGGACACTTGACTTGACGTTGAGAGATAGTCGGATTAGATGTCTTCTCCAAATTGTTAGTTTCTCTTTTAACCTGGATTTCTAGCAAGAGTTGAGTTAATCACAACATTGTCATTTTCTTATGATCGCTTTAAATGACCCGAAATGCATTTGGAGAATCTATCTATTTGGATTTATAGAAAATAGAATTTCCATGAGTCCTCCCAGATTCATTGGTATTGTTAGTTTATTATCATGAATGTTTATTAGCATGAATGTGCGATGATGATCACCAACTTTATATCCCGATTCAATATCAACTCAATACTACGATGCAGGCCTAATACCTAGTCATCAAATGAACGCACTTTTTGTTAACATATTTCATTTAACTATCCTATGTAATCATTACAAATATTAATTAAATACGAGTACTTAATGCGGCTTGTTTAATTAGGACTTAGCAAACGTCAACCGTTTCAACTTGTTTTCTTTTTGCTGAAATAGCTGGTATTGAAGAATGGCAATCCAACAATTCCGGCAAATTCAGCAAAAGAATAATCTTTTCTAAAATAGTTAGTTATAGCTTCTTTATCTGAATCTCGTATGTCTTTTTCCCTCGTTGCTAGTTCATATTCTAAATCATGAATATATGCGTCTAACTCTCCTTCGTCTACTGGTTTATCATGATTATATAGTATTATATATAGTATTTTCCGGTCCTAAATAATTATGATACCATTCTGATATAAAAATTTAGACAATTTTTATTTATATACGTCCCATCTTAATTTTGTATTAATATAAACAATGTTGCAAATACCATAAATAATTTAAATATCAATAAAATCGCGCGATTGCATCATCGTATCAAATGATATTCAATTGGACTTTGTCTGATAAAGACTATAACACATCGCCGACGACGACGATCTGGGCAGCGCAGCATTTTTCCAACGGCAAGCTATCGGCCGCAGGCCATGATTAAGCTGAAGCCATCAAAAAAATCATTTTTTTCTGCATTCGGTGGTGATAAAATAAACATAGGTATATTTTTATCTATAATATTATGTTTAATTTCTGTTTCATTATTATAAAATTGAAATTTTATTTATTATCAGCAAACTTAAGACTAAACAATATTAATTTCTTAAGCCTAAATGAAACCTATGGTCGACACCAAGTCGCGTTGCACCTGCATGTGCAATATTGGTAAACTGCTGTTTAATCATTAACTTCAATAATATTACCGAATCGGCTAGTGCGGCGTCAGCAATCAAGCGGATGCACGACTTTCCTAATCGAGTCCGTCAGGGGAGTTTTTAAAAAAAAAAAAAAAAAAAAATTNCGTCCTTACTGCTTCTTTCATTGTTTCCTCATTCGTCAACGTTGATAGCATATACTCCATACTGCTGAAGAAGAAGTTTATTGTGTTACTCCCTATGCCGGTGAATATGGGTAGATGGCTAATATTTTTTATGACCCTGTCCTTCTCTTGTTGATTTGTTTGGCTTCTTTGCAGTTCTATGTATGCATTGCGAAGTTGGTCTAGTTGTTGTTCTCGCCTCGCTAGCTGCTCCATTATGTCGATGGTTGTGGCTTCTGCTTGTTCCATTCTTCGTCTGTCAAAAACTTTCTGTATTTTGGTCCTAATTTTTGCGTTTGTGGCTCACTGACCACGCTTTAGCTGATCGATCCGGTTGTACTATGTGTTTTGCTGAAGTTAAGGTAGCACTTTGGTTGTTGCTACCTATCGCTTATGCACTTTGTCAAACTCTTTTTTCTTGATAATTGTGATAGCGGCTTCGCAAGAGCTTTGGTCCGCTGCACTCTCACTTTATTTTTGTATGTGGGTGGTTTCCTTGAAAAGTCACTGCACTGCCACACTGTATGTTTGATTTATATATATTATGTTATATCCTAGAGGGTCCGGTCAACTCTTGAGTTGGCTACGGAATCGCAGGATTAGTAAGGGTTTTTTTATATTTTTTTTTTATTTTATTTTTATATATATACGTTCACGTTTCTTATTTCGTGTTCGTATCACTATCCTTTTTTTTGTTGATAAAAAGGATTACCGACTGCGCCACTTTCCTAATCGAGTCCGTCAGGGGAGTTAAAAAAAAAAAAAAAAACAATACCAACGAGAGTTTATGGCAAAGGCCAACCAGCCAAAGGATGTGGTGATTAACATTATGCTTGTTATGCAGTTAATAAATTGGTCAATATCGCTAATTGCTGATTTGTTATAATTTCCATATGTAACTCGCGTGAAGCGTTGTTTATCGAGGTGCATGGGTTATTGCCCAATTCGCAAAAATTATTGTAAGCTGTTGTGTTATCTTATATTTCCCTAATAATTAATGTTTTTGTTATGGATTTTGTATCTAAAGCTTCTAGGATTTTCTCTAAGATTGTGAATTAATTTGTCTTTGTAGATTATTATTATTCTATTAACTGGTTAAGACCTGTTATAAATTTCAAAATTGAGCCAAAAAAAAATATGGACACGTTTGATACGATGCTCGGATGGTATCAGTTGTGTTTTCAGTATTTCTTTTTTATTAATGAGAATACTTTCTCTCAAATTTGCGTCGACGCACGAGGACACTTTCAGCGCCTCCAAACACATACTTCATTTCTTTGAGTAGTTAGTCGACATTTTCTGGTATGGTCGTTTTCGCATTATACCATGCTAAGCCGCTCCTTTTAACTTAAGATGTATAGCACACTGTCGCTTCGTTGTTTTTGTTGGATGTAACGCTACTTTGTGATCCGTTATCCGCTACATTTTTCTGTACGTTGACCGCTACGTTTTTCTCACCGTCGTTCACTGTATTTTCCTCGCCTTTGCCAATTAAATTTGCTTTCTCGTCCGCTTCGTCGTGGTCACTTTCTTCGTTGTTGTCGCTTAAGTAACTTCTCCTGCTTGATGGTCCACTTGTACTTGGGCATAATCCACGGGCTTCAGCGGACAAATCATTCAATCTTGCCGCTAACGAAGCTTTTGCCCCACTAGCATTTATGCCCTCTGCTGTACACCACGCTTTGAGTTGGAGAAGTATGTATTTTTCAGCGTCAATTGTTTCGCAATTCATTTTGAAATGCTTTTGATTTAAAGTTAAACATTGATATTGGCTTTGCGTTTTTGTATATTTTGTAGGTCTAAGACCACTTCTGATGAAAGGTCCAGGATAGCCAAATAACACAACCGTTTAGTTCAATTGTATAANAAGACCTGTTATAAATTTCAAAATTGAGCCAAAAAAAAATATGGACACGTTTGATACGATGCTCGGATGGTATCAGTTGTGTTTTCAGTATTTCTTTTTTATTAATGAGAATACTTTCTCTCAAATTTGCGTCGACGCACGAGGACACTTTCAGCGCCTCCAAACACATACTTCATTTCTTTGAGTAGTTAGTCGACATTTTCTGGTATGGTCGTTTTCGCATTATACCATGCTAAGCCGCTCCTTTTAACTTAAGATGTATAGCACACTGTCGCTTCGTTGTTTTTGTTGGATGTAACGCTACTTTGTGATCCGTTATCCGCTACATTTTTCTGTACGTTGACCGCTACGTTTTTCTCACCGTCGTTCACTGTATTTTCCTCGCCTTTGCCAATTAAATTTGCTTTCTCGTCCGCTTCGTCGTGGTCACTTTCTTCGTTGTTGTCGCTTAAGTAACTTCTCCTGCTTGATGGTCCACTTGTACTTGGGCATAATCCACGGGCTTCAGCGGACAAATCATTCAATCTTGCCGCTAACGAAGCTTTTGCCCCACTAGCATTTATGCCCTCTGCTGTACACCACGCTTTGAGTTGGAGAAGTATGTATTTTTCAGCGTCAATTGTTTCGCAATTCATTTTGAAATGCTTTTGATTTAAAGTTAAACACTGATATTGGCTTTGCGTTTTTGTATATTTTGTAGGTCTAAGACCACTTCTGATGAAAGGTCCAGGATAGCCAAATAACACAACCGTTTAGTTCAATTGTATAAAACAGAATGGTTTCTCTTCTTTATTTTTAAAATTGCGTAATTGTAACGTACATGGAGTCTTAATCGCCAGTTATCGATAAATATCTTATAAGCTAGAGTTGCCACCTAGTTTCTAATTTACACATAATAAAGTACTAAGACTAAGACTTAAAACTAAACCTAAGGTGGTATATGCATACGTACTATATACATACTGCCTCTTACAATATATACATACATACAAACATTATTATGATTCAGCCTTTTTTTCAATATTTTTACATAGATCAGGTACATTGTTTATACATACAAGGAAATAATAATATAGCAATAAATTCATTTTCAAAAATCTGCAAAATTTTGTTAGCAAACCCACATATGCAAAAGTCTATAATAGTGTCATGCGTTGGTGACGCAGCTCCTAAGCCCCACGAACGCCTCCGTAATTATCACAACTCCTTTGAAGTATAAAGATGCCTAAGTACAATAAAAAAAATGAATATTCGAATCAGAATGTCATTAATGTCTAAATGCAGTTGCACCTCAAAGCAAAGTTTTGTCGAATATTTTTAAATCTGCTACTGCGGCTAGATGAGAAGCGTCCATTCCAGTCAAACTGCTCTATTAGTTTATCTTTTCGTACGATAATAAACAAATGTAAAAAGCAATGAAAAATGGAGTAATTAATTAATCCAAAATATATTATTACCATAGCTTGTATATTTTTCACTTCCATCTAATGCGGAGAAAACCATAAAAAATGGCGTTCTACTCGAAAATAAGAACAAAGAAAATCGGATAATCCGTTCAACCGTTAATAATAATCTGTTATATCTCCCTGTTGATGTCTGGTCACTATCACCGTTAATAATCATATCCTTCATGTTCAAAGTTTTTTCGGTTTTTGTTTTACTTTTCTCGTATTTATTACGATACTTGTTTCTTTATTTTGGACAACTGGAGATTTTTGTCTCCTTTTTTAGTTGCCAAAAAAAAAATTTTTATTTGAGTTCAAGAGATTTTTTTACATCTCCTGGCAGCATCGCCACTTATTTTTTTGCCCGGTCGCGAAATGTTTTTAAAAAGAAAAACAAATTAAGCCGTTGCTTCAAAAGTCCCCCTTACATTTTACACTTAAACCTATTTATACTATTTCTTATTGTTTATTTAATATGAATTTCATCACTTAGCAGGTTCACTAACTCCCCCTATGAGACCACCTGTCCTGCTGTCCCAGGGGTCTATCTCCCGTTTCCCGATCTGTTGTCCGATCTGACAACCCTATCGCTCTGGAAGCCGAACTTCTTAGGGTTCTCGGGGAGCCACTCGGCTTCGCAGCACACGCCAGACAGTCCCGCTTCACAACACCAAGTCTTCCGCACCCGAAGCACTTTATCCCCTTCCTACACTCTGAAGAGACATGCCCGTCATTTTATTATGACAATTATTTATCATCTCGCCTAATACCGCCACCAAATAAGATTATATCATCATTTGGATCTTCTGGTGGCTTTGTACCGGTTTTACTATCATAATTTTTCAATATTTTACGCATTAAATTAATGCGTTCGTCCATAGATGGTCTGGACGATATACTACTTTTAATGTCAAATTTCTTTTTATAAGATTGTAATGAAGCCTGTTATAAAAGAACGGCTTCAAAAAGATAGAATACCCCTATTCCATCTGTTGCAACATCCTCCGTATTGGTGTTAAACTGGAGGTATTGGTTGCACTCCTTCAGTGTTTGTTGCACAGCGACACTGGCTCTGATCCGGCACGCACTTACGAGCCAGGCCGCAAGCTACGCTTCGGCCTTCAAAATTCTCCTGCGAGTGTATATTGGTGCCCAATCATATGGCGCCGCCCCCATTACCCAAAGCGACCGGGTTGTATAGCGCACCCCACCATGGCACACCAAATACACTGGGATAATTTTTCCCATCGCCGCATTAAAGAAAAAGGCGACACCCCAGTTTACAGAATTCCCGCGCAAAGCATACCGTTGCCCTAATATTTGTTAGTGGAGCAACCGTTTTGGGGAACACCTCCTTTTGGAGACTTATACCACTGGGTAGGCACACACCGAATGCAACCGTGACATCAATCCATGGCTTCAAATAATGCTATTACTATTTGCCGACAGATTTCACTGCCAACGCTTGGAGTGAAAGGAAGCTTAGGCAAAACAAAGGAAGTGAACAAACAAACACAGAAGAAATTTTTGTTGCGGCCAGTACGCGACAGTTTGTTAAGCACAACTTCCTTTTTTGCAACTTCTGCCACTACATATCGCTCATCAAGTATTGTAAAATGCAACCATTTATTTGCACGAACATTGATTCTACCATCCGTATCGGGACTTGTTTCGTAAGTATCTATAATAAACTGCTTGTAGCGAAAGACATTTTCACAAGTTTTTCCGTATAATGCATTGTTTGCGACTTTACGTGCTTCACGAATAGTAACATCAGTAGAAGCGTTTCTTGCATCAATATTTTGTTGATTGAAATCTCGGAAAATTGCAGAGTTTTTCCATCTTTGGAAACTGTGCCACTTTTTAATTATCAAACCCTGTTTTACGTAAAACTGTAAAAGCTTATCTAGGACTAGATATTTATTTTTCGGCAGAAAAGTGGTACAAAGACGTTTATTAAAGTGATGTGGCGCAAGTGGAAATGAAAAAATGTGCATTAATATCGTGCAGTTCTGCAGGATATTCCAAATCAACAGTACACAGAAATGTTTCATCTTCTGCTTTGTTTTGCATCTCAAGAAACCAATCTGTTTTGTCATGTTCTAGCACGGAAACTGTACATAGATAGTCTGTTGGAAGTTCCTGCAACATACACCATGAATATAATGAATTTACATCCAGCATTTTGATTGAAGAAACATCCATTTGACCTACTTCAGCAAATCTAAAAACAGTTTGTGCAACTCCACCGCGTATATTATCTCTTATTTGCAGATAATCTTCCATATCACTTGGAATGCCACATTACGCATTACGCATAGCTAAATATCATGACACTAAAGAAGTACTAAAAAACAGTGCAATATCGACACTGAATTGTTCAAATATCTTTTTGAGATGTGTATCGAAGTAAAACAACAATATCAAGACATCTACTGTGCAGTATTTTTGTAAATATTCACCAACATTCGCCAAGTTATGCTCAATGCAGATATTACGCAAATCTGATGAAATTACCTTAGGGCCAGTTAATAAATTCTGCTGCGCAGAATCATCATCTGGAAAAGGCTCTGATAATTGCTGTCTGTCTTTCAGCTACTCATAAGCAAATTCACCTTTGGCGCCTTGAAACAGCAGAAAATAGTTATGTAATTGTTCTGCATATTGTGACCATAAATCTCTTGGTATCTGTTTTCCGAAGTGAGAGATGCTGCCTTTTACAAATTGTATTGAATCTCTTATACGAAAACGCATAAAGTTTTCTTTTTTCTCATAACTTATATTTTACAAAAGTTCGCTGCTTCTATCTGCGATATTAAGTTTGAAGTTGTTTGCTAAGTATCTCACCACGAAGCATTGTCATATTTGCTGAAGTTGTGGAACAACAAAACAGGTTCATATAAATTAAATATATTTATTTGTTGCAAACAATGACTACACACGAAATCAAATCCCGAGTTGAACTGTAAATTTAATGTGCCAACTACATGCCTCAATTGCAAAAAAATTCGACCACGTGCAATTTGTATGTATTTTAACTGCTCGTCTTCCATCATCAGCCCAGCCGTAAAATTGGCCAATTCTTCTTTGTACATCTGTCCGTCTTTGTGTCTAGGTTTTTCATGTTTGCCCATACTTATGTTTTCGTTTGCATTGCATGCAATAATCCCAAAGTTGACGTTTTCTTCGTAAAAAGGACTCAATGCTTTTTATTATAAGCATTTTTTGGTCATTCCAATAAAATAACGCAGTAAATAAGCAACATTAATACGGTGCAGATGCTCGCACAGCAAATGTATATTTGCCAGATTTGCCACAGCATCGCCAAGCCATTCCAAAGCAAACTGGTAAACAAATTGCCTGAAAGCCGCGTTGTTAATGCATCCATTACGCGGCAAGCTCTGCTTTCTAGCAATCCTATAACAAAAGAAAAGCAGATGTACAAACAGCTCGCGATTAAAATCCACATCTTGTCGGGCTTGTGATTCTCCACCTGGTTCTCCTGCTTCTCCTGCTCCACAACGCTGAACAGACGCAACAGTCGTATTATTATGTACTACTTTTGTTGTTGTTCCATTTTCTCTCGTACTGAACTCTTGAAATGCCAGCCAATTCAATTTCACTTTAGCCACTTTACTCAAGGATAGTCTACTAACAACTCTGTTGTGCTCGCTTATGTCCACTACTTGTTGGTCCACGAAATCCCAAGTTTGTTCCCATTCGCCACTGCTCACTTGCTCCTTATCGAGTATAACACTAGGCAAACTCTCTTGCCAGGCCATGATTAAGCTTAAGCCAACAAAAAAATATTTTTTCTCTGCATTCGGTGGTGATAAAATAAACATTGTATTTTTTTAGGTATATTTTTATCTATAATATTATATTTAATTTCTGTTTCATTATTATAAAATTGAAATTTTAATAGTTCACCTAAAACATTAATAGATCGATTTACACTAAAATAGTAATCAAATAAATTATTAATAGGAGCATTAAAAATTAAATTTTGTAGTTGATTTTAAATATAGAAATATTTCCTGAAATGATAAATTATTAATATAATTATTTATTATTTTAATACAATTTTTAACCGAAATACTTTTAGTATCCCAAAATTTAAATTTTCCAGATAACCATATTGATGGATCCAAAATATGTTGTGTAGGGGCTGTAGGCTGTTGTTTTATAAAATCTATTATTTGTTCTACCTTTCCTCTTATTTTATGCCTGGGATCTGATTGATTTGTTTGCTCGCAGCAAGTATAAGTTTCATAAGTAACTGATGAACAGGATCCACCGGTGACTGGGTCAAAAAAGTCGAAGTCGAAAAGTTCGCTTCCTTCCACCACTCGGTTTTCGGCCTCCTCGATATCCTTGAAAAATCGTAGATGTCTAGTTTCACTACTTGGTAACCACGTTCTCCCGGCGATGTAATAGTACATGAGCTTCCGGGTACCCTTTTGCAGATAGAATGCGAGATTAAATTTTCTGCATAATTCTCCACTATCCAATTCGATGTTTCCACTGACATTGATAGTTCAATAAACGTCGTGTACCACTTGCTGTGGCAAATTATAGTTGCCAAATTCTTTAAGGAGCACGTTCCTAATTCTTCCTTCTGCGTTGTCAGGACTTTCAAACAATATTGGAGGGAGTCCATCAATGTATGTAGATGACCCTTCGCTTCGTATTGTTTTTCCTTCAAGGAGAGAGAGATCAAAATCTTTAAAGTCCAAGTTATATACAGAAGAAACTCTTTCGTCCATATTATTAAGAGTTGCGATAGTGTCTGCTCATTCCACAAGAACATTATAAACTATTAGAAATAAAACGCGCTTGTTAATGCTCGATATTCCTTTAATGACTATACTTTAACGCTGTTTACTAAGAACTAACTAGAAGTTTAAAAACGTAAATGAAATGAAGTGGAATAAGAGAGTGACAATTCAAGTTTGCATTTAATAGTAATAATAGTATTTTTATAAAATGTATGTTGGTAGTCGAAACTACTTTGCTGCACATGGATATTGGAGTATTCTATAATATTTATTATTGGAATGTCATATGATTCTGTTTTCATGATTTCTTCAATATCATCAAACTTAAAGATTCCTGAATAAAAAGTTACCTGTTTTCGCAAAATTAATTGTTTTTGTTATTGGTTCTAATTCTTTATATATTTCCCTAATAATTAATGTTTTTGTTATGGATTTTGTATCTAGAGTTTCTAGGATTTTCTCTAAGATTGTGAATTAATTTGTCTTTGTAGATTATTATTATTCTATTAACTGGTTAAGACCTGTTATAAATTTCAAAATTGAGCCAAAAAAAAATATGGACACGTTTGATACGATGCTCGGATGGTATCAGTTGTGTTTTCAGTATTTCTATTTTATTAATGAGAATACTTTCTTCGTGGGATTGTATGCTACTGTATCTTGTTCTCATTGTAGTTCATAAGGCGCTAATATTGTCGAAAGGTTTGCTAAATGATACAGTTAGGATGAGATATTATATTAAAAACTTCGTTTGTTTCGGTTAAAATATAGTTCTTCGTAGTTGGAAAAAACTACAGATTCTAAATCTTCTTGCTTTTTTTTGTTTAATTCTTTATATTCTATTTTGTTCACTGTCAATCCTATTTATCTTATATTTATTATTATAATTAGCACTTACAGCATTATTATGCCGGATTGTCTGCATGTACTGCCTAGAGTTATCCACATCCGTGGGTATTGGTGCAGATTGTGGTTGTAGCTGTTTTACTTGATGATGTAGATTTCTCTGCATACTGAAGTACTGTACTGATTTGTGTACTTTTCTACTCGATGTGAATGATTATTTTGGCTATATCGTGCATTGTATCCCTGATGGTTGTTGTTAAACCTCAATGAAGTTGGTTGCATGACAAACTGCTGATTTTCTTTATCGTGATGAATTGTAGATGCTATTGTATATGCTTCTTCCAAGTTGCTCGGGTTGTGGCTGTATATTGGTTTATTTGTATATTCAGAATTTGATCCAAGGAAGAATGTCCTCACAGCTTCTCTGTTAGCATAATCTTTCATGGCAGCATTGTCATGGTCTCTTGACATCTCAATTTTAGATAGCGTCAAAT